GCCCACAAAAGTGGAAAGGTGTTGTGATAGTTGCCACAGAAAAACTTGATAGGAGAAATTATTTGTCACTGCTTTTGGTATTATAAGAATAACCAAATTAGGAAAGCCTGCTCCATAAATCTGCTATTATCCTTGTGTTGTCAGCAGTTGTTTAATTTCAGCAAAGCATAATTTGACACATTAAATGAGTGTTAATTTGGGTTCATCTATAACTTAAGAATTTGTTGATTTTATGATTTAAGAGCTGTAAAAATAAGGAATTCCTAATTTGATTTATACCTACTTAGATTTGTCAGTAACTGGGTAGGTCTATGAGATTTTTTTTTCTTTCTTAAAGCATGTTCTTACACTACTTAGTTTTGAGAAACACTACTAGGGATTGGCACTGGAAAACCATTGAAAATTTGAGACAGTGGAGGAATGGAGGCCAAGATTATAAGTAGAGAAATCTATTAGCTTAGGCTGATTATGAGAAGTTTGGTTTAAGGTACATAAGTGGGTTTTTTTTAATTTATTTTTATTTTTATTTTTTATAAGTGGGGTTTGAGAAGAATATAAGATATACTCACTACATAGTCTTTGTGGTTGATCATATTTGTGGGGTGAGGGAGAAACCCCAGATGTCAAGTCAGTGACAGAATGGATACTGCTGCTGTTCAGAAAAATAGAGATTATAGGAAGGAGAAACAAGTTTTTCTGGGGCTGAAGTAGAAGTTTGTGGAGGGCATGTCGTGATGACACCTATTTTGAACATCTAGAATTTAAGCTTAAACATTTAGTTTAATAAGTCCTGTAGTTTAAGAGACAAGTGAGAAACAGGAATATAATTTAGGAGTCTTCAGCATTTAGAAAGTAATTGAAACCTTGGAATTATGAGATTGGCTGGGAAGAGTTTATTGAGTGAGAAATGAGGCCAAATATATTCTGAATAGTCTTGGAAGAGGAGTCCACATTCTCTCACCTCTGTTTTTCTGTGCCAAAGTCCTTGAAGAGTATGTCTATGTGAGTAAGCAAAGAATATTGAAAAAAGAATTACTTGAGAGAAATTAATTTTAAGAGTAAAAAGTATTAAATACTACAGTGTATTTAATTTTGGTGTTTTTTTTTTCTAACTCAGGAATAGAGATATCAGACTACCCACTTTAACCTGTTATCTCTGTCCAAGTCCACAGAAGTGGCAACTTTATTTATTTATTTATTTATTTATTTATTTATTTATTTATTTATTTATTTATTTAAAGATTTTATTTATTTATTCATGAGACACACCGAGAGAGAGAGGGGCAGAGACACAGGCAGATGGAGAAGCAGGCCCCATGCAGGGAGCCCAAGGTGGGACTTGATCCCTGGACTCCAGGATCACACCCTGGGCTGCAGGCAGTGTTGAGGCACCCGGGCTGTCCCCGAAGTGGCATCTTTACTCTTTTTTTTTTTAATTTTTATTTATTTATGATAGTCACACACAGAGAGAGAGAGAGAGAGAGGCAAAGACATAGGCAGAGGGAGAAGCAGGCTCCATGCACCGGGAGCCTGACGTGGGATTCGATCCCGGGTCTCCAGGATCGCGCCCTGGGCCAAAGGCAGGGGCTAAACCGCTGCGCCACCCAGGGATCCCCCGAAGTGGCATCTTTAAAAAATAAAATCTTTTATGCATGAGAGCCAATTCAGGAAAAAAATAACTATGTTTATAATTGAGTAGTTCCCTTATGGATATACAAGATACCTGATCAGAGTAGAGGATACTTTTAAAGTAAGAAGTAAAAGACTTTTTCACAAAGACTATTCTTGATACATAAAGGCAATCTGAGTCTGAGTACTTCCATTTATAAAAAACACTCTTGAAGTTGTAGCTAGGCCTGTGTATGAAGTAAGACTGCGGCGGTTAGGAGGACCCTGGTATACAAATGTGGTCAATAAACATTGGTAGTGAAACTTTCCAGCAACACAGAATGCCTAGAGAATAAGTAAGATGTTAACATTTTCAAAGTTGGAGAATAGAAACCTGCATGTAAAGAATGGGGAACTGTGAGATCGGTTTATATCTAAGGCAAAAAATAGTCCTTTTGGTGATTGTTTTTTGCGCTTAGGAATGAAAATACTGTACTTGTTTTAAAACAGTACTTGGGCATTATTGTACTTAACCCACTTCTTAATCCTTTTCCTTAATGTGGATGTGTGAAAATAATTGTTAAGCATTTTTTATTTTTTATAACTTATTTATATTTCTTTAAGTTTATCTCTGACACAGACATGGGTAGACTATCTCAGGGAATAAAAATAGTGTCTGGCAAACTTGAAGTTTTTTACTGACATCTGGTATCTAGCATGCTGTAGGACTGATTTTAGAAACTGTTAAGAAGGTCAGAGTGTCTAGAATTCAGAGTCAAGTACAGATGACATTGGTATTTTTGATGGTTCAGTAGACTAATTTTTGTTGATGCTGAAGCAGAAAAAAATAGTGAATTTGAGCACATACAGGGTACAAAGAGTCATAGTGAAGAAGGGAAAAACTTGAAAATGGTGGTAGAAGTAATCTCAGTGATGACAATGTGGCTCTGTAAGAAATTTACCCAACAGATGGGCAGCCCCGGTGGCTCAGCGGTGTAAGCGCCGCCTTCAGTCCAGGGCGTGATCCTGCAGACCCGGGATCAAGTCCCACATCAGGCTCCCTGCATGGAGCCTGCTTCTCCCTCTGCCTGTGTCTCTGCCTCTCTCTCTCTGTGTGTCTCTCATGAATAAATAAATAAAATCTTAAAAAAAAAAATTTACCCAACAGAGTTTGAGTAGGGTTGTTGTATTACAAAGTATATATAATGTTTTCAGTGTTACTGATTTTTGTTGATTTTGTTTTTCTTTATCTAAATTTTTATTGTAAATTTGGTACGGTTTGTATGTCCTCAGAGTGTATCTGGAATCTGACCACTTCTTACTGTCTCAATTACTATCACCTTGGGCCTATCCACCACCTTTTTTTGCATACATTATTGCAATCATCTCCTAGATTTTGCTGCATTTTGGACTCACCTAAAGATTTGAAAAAAATACTGATACTCCCCCTGGCATTCCTTGGAATGTGTTGCAACCCTGGCATCAGGATTTTTTTTTTAAAGCCTCTGGTGTTTCTGATATGCACTGTCCCAAATAATTAGAAAATCAGTAATCTTTCCCTGAAGAATTTGACTATATTTCTGCTTTTTCTGCTTGTAGCCATTTTATTTGGGACATTTCTATTTCTTAAAGTTGTAGAAGGAAGTCCTAATGTATCTATTAGGCTTCTTAGTTTTGAGCAGTGGAAGCTGATTCTAGCTGATTTAAGCAGAAATGAAGTTTACTAATATATATATATATATATATATAATATAATACTAATATATATATATTATATATATACAGAGAGAGAGAGAGAGAGAGAGAGAGAGAGAGAGAGAGGCTCACATAATTGGTAGAAGGCTGGATAGAGCCAGCTTTAGAAAAAGTATAGAAACAAAGGGAAGCTAAACAGCTAGAACCTGCTGTTCTCTGCTGAACAAGTGACTGGATACCTCAGATATAGCCCTGGCCCCTCTATGCTGCCACTGGTTCTGCTGCTGTTTACTGTCCTTGGGAAGTAGATGTTACCTCCACTGTTGCTGTCGTTAGAAAGAATTTTCTCTTGACTCTGCTCCATATTCATAATCCCTGGTAGATGTGTCTTTTTGGATTAGAATCGGCTGCCAGAACATGTGAGAAAGCAAGTATCTGGCATTTTCGATTTTTAACAGTGGAAGATAAGCTCTATATTGCATCAAAACTCATGAAGTTGGAAAATCTCCAGACACAGGCAAGGGCTTCACATGCTTGGAAACCAACAAAATGACAAAGGTCATGTACTATACGTAGTGGTATTTATTTTATGCATTAATCCACTGGTTCTCAAACTAAGAACCCACAAGACATTGGTATTTTTTCCATAATTATTTTAAACCTTTAGAACCTGCTACCACTTGTCCCTTAGCAAGCAGTTAGAGATAACAAAATAAATGAGTAAGTAGCAAGCAAATTAATAGGAAAACTTAGGCATATAACTTATGAATATTTATATATTATTTTTGGAAGTATGGAGACCAATATAAGTATAAAATAGGTATGTTTCTTGATAATAAAAAATGTTCTGAGTTTCTATGGTGGAAGTTTTATATCAGTGTTATATGTCAGCATTGTCCAATAGAAATATACTGTGGACCACAAATGCAAACCATATGTATAATTTTGAATGCATTAAGAATAAAAAGAAATAGGCATTTAATTTTAATAATATATAATTTAACCCAATACATTCAAAGTATTGTTTCAATATTTAATCAATGCAAATATTTAAGGGATAGTTTATATTTCTTTTTCATACTAAGTCTTCAAAATCTAGTGTGTAGAGTACATCTCAGTTCAGACTGATGTCATATAAAGTGCTTAATTGCTACATTTAGCCAGTGGCTACTGTATTGGACAGCACAATTCTGTAGCATGGTGTAAAATGCTATATAACTTACTATAATGCAGTATTTTAAGTACCTTATGAAAATCTATGTATTTGAAAAAATGTAAACTAAAAGTAATAACAAAGTGCTTGATTATTCATTCTGTTAAAATCCAAAACAGTTTTACTTGATTTTGCATTTGTATTTTGCAATTTTTTAAATGATGGGGATGGAGGTATGAAATGGGGAAAAGAAACCTAGTTTTTTCAATTAGGCTTTGTTTTGATTATTTTATATCTTACGAACATTTCAATTCCTGAGAGATTAGATGTACCCTAGGCAGAGAAAGGCAACATGCTATAGTGCTGACTTTGCATGTGAATAATCAAATCATATTTTACTATATTTAATGTTTATGGCACTACTAGGTCTTAGTATCTGAAGTTTCAAAAATAAAAAAGCTAATAGTAATCATGTATGATTTCTTTCCCTAGATAATTCATGCTGATAGTAAATTTTATGTTCTAATTATTTTTATTCTTTCAGGCTGCTGAATCAGGAATAATAAAAGTTAAAACAATAGCTGCACGGAACACCGAAATTTTGGCAGGTAATTTTTTGCTTAAAATTCAACAATAAAATTTCACTAATAATAAAAGGAGAATCTTTAAAAGAACAGAAAACAGCCATTTGATTTCTGTTGCCTCTCCTTTATACCCTAGCATGCTGTTTGTAATGATAAAGAACATGTAAAAGTCCGTAACTTATGCACAAATTGGGTTTGCCAAGGCTGAATGTTATGAAATCTCTGAGATCAGAAAGGTTAAAACTACTAACTCCCTACAGGCAAGGACTTGCCATTCTCCTCCACGTCTTGTCAATCACCTAAGATGTACCTTATCCATAAAAGGCATTCAGTTAATATTTGTTGTATTGAATGAAATGAAAGATTGGTTCTCCGTCCACCTTCCAAGATCTATTTTATCTTTAATATACTATGAACAGGTGATAGTGTAGTATTACAAATTTTGTAGTACTTGCTGAGTGTTGAATCCTAGGACTAAGACAGTATGGGCGTGAAGAAAGGAGTGAGGTGGAAAAAAGATTTTTTTCATTCTTTTGATTGAATTTGCTTTTCAAGGAGGAATTTCAGGAGTTCTGCTTTGAGACTTTTTGATAGCCTATTTCTTACTTTTCTTTGGTGCCTTTTTGTTCTTGCCTCTACAATGAACATGGAAAAGGAAAGTAGCATTTTCTGAGAATCTGTTACATGTGAAACATTTGTACCACTCTAATAAAAGACAACCTTGTAGTGAAATACTTTTATTTTGTAGTAGAGAAAATTGAGATGCAGAGTTATTAAGTTATTTGGCTAAGGTCACATGATAAGTGGTGGAACTAGATTGAAATCCAGGGCTGTTGAGAGCCCGTGTTGTTACTGCTGCTACAGTGTGCTGCCATGGTTTTGCAAAGATTCCACACTAGCTCCTCCCTCCCAAGTGTTTATACTTAACCATTGTTTACTTCACTGGTCTTCAGTCTGCATTTCCATTCTAATGGTGCTATTGGTCTCAGCCAGTTATAGGAGAAAAGCAGTCCTGTTAATTTACACAAGGATCTCTCGAGCTCCTATCTATCTCTCATAAATCTCTTTATATTTTAAAAAATGATACCAGAAAATCCCTGATTGGTGGGATTTCAAAGAGTATTACAAAATGAAATGAAAACTTTTGGAGGGGGGCAGTTTAAGGGTGGGAGGTGTATTTCACTTAGGTTTGCCAGGCTTTGCTGGACATTTGCCTTTAGGGTGAGCTCTTCTGTGTTGCATCTGTTTCTCATTGGCTTCTTTGATTTTGAACAATCTGTTGAAACACCACAAACAGTTTAAGAACATTATTCACAGTGTTGAATAATGCTCTGTGTACATTTTGAGAAGGGGTATAGTGAAAGTGGTGGGTAAAGACAAAGGTATGTATGGTTGGATTGGGAGAGTGGGTGTGTGGGTTGTGGGAGATGCATGTTGGGTGGATTAGCTACTGTGAGGAAATTAATGTTTAAAGATAAATTAAGATCTGGATATTTTTATGGTAGCTAAATATTAGAATATCACTACAAATATATTAACTTTTGCTACTATGATTGCTGATATCATGGTAAGTCCTTAGTTATTCACCAACAGTAGAAGTTTTCATTGGGTCTGTAGCTGATGGAAGATTTTCTAAAGAGACTGATTTCTTCCAAGGATCACTGTGTGGTGCTGAATTCTTTACGAAAGTAAATGTGTAACTGGTTAATCCTGAGAACGAGTAAGAAAAATTTTGCTTTGTCAGTATGAGTTTAATATTTAGGTGGGCTGTTCATTTCAATTTAGTTAGCTTTATTCAGAACAATCTAGAAAACATCTTTATGCACCTACAATTAAATAGTTCATGCTTTAAGATCCATAGCGCCCAAGCCATGTACTTGAGGAGCTATATTAGCACTTAAATTATTTCCTAACATTGTTTTTTTACCAAGTATCTATAGCAATTGATAATTTAAAATTTATAGCTTTTTAGAACATTGTCATCTTGAAAATCAAAGAGTCTTAACAAGGAAAAGAGTTGTTAATATATAGTTTCTGAACTAATTAGAGTATAGTTAATACTAAGAAAAATTTGTAGTTAACTTTTTAAAAATTTTAATTTCCTAACAGGTATTTACTTTCTATAAAGCTAGAGACTTTAGATTACTACTTTTGTGCTGTAATGAATGTTACAGATATCAAACAGTGGAGGAGTTGCAAATGAAATGAAATACTGAATTCTTAGATATCTCTACATATTCAGAAAATATAAAGGGTGCTATAAAAATCAGAACCCTTAAGTAGGATTAACTAGTCTGACTAGTGATATTCAGTATAGATTTCTAGCCAAACTCTAGTTTTCTTAGATTTAATTTCCAAGGGAAGAAGGCTATTTACACTGCAGAATAAATCTTTGCTTTACATCTCCCCTTCTTTTAAGCATTCTCCTTTAATGTTTATTTTTCTTTGTTTTCACTGCTGTCATGAATGCTGACATAAGTGGGAATGCTATGCCAGGTAATGTCAGCATTGATTCAGATATACAGATCATTATCTCAAAATTTCCTTTTTCTTTAAAGATAAAACTCTGCAAATGAGACATAGCAACATCAAGCTTTTCATTTACAAGGCCAAATGCCTTAATCTTCCACTTGACTACTATATATTACAAAATGTTTTTATTAAGCCAGCTTATAGTATACTTGAAGTTGACTGAGAAGGCTTGTGTTATACAAAAATTACATAAACAGAGTATCTGCTTTTTGAATATTTGAAATGAAGAAAGCAATGAAGTTGTGATATCTTAAAATTGTGTATTTAACCCATTCAAAACCATAATGGTTACATCTACCTTTGGCTGCTTTCAGCCACTGTCAATATACATATAGAATTTCTACGTAGATGATCATTATGTATGATTTGTGTTCTTTTCTCACAGTTTCCATTATCTTTTTCATATCAACACTGTCTTATTACTAAAAAGTCTTTAAGTAGAATGAGTAAATGTACTTTGGAGTTGTTTTCTGATGTTAAAAGGTAATTTATCTGCTGATTTTATTTAGTATTTTCTGTCTTATCAATACATATGCCTGTGATACTTTACAAACATCTATAGAATATATTGTAAATATGTTCTTAATAAGGAAATAATTATGTAAGCATCACTAGAAGATATACAAAGATAAGTAGTGTAACTCACTTATAACCTATACGGAAATATAGGAAGTATACTTGAAAATGCATTTCAGTATCTTATTCAGTATCAGTATCTTATTCTTATTATCAGTATCTTATTCTTCCTTATATTGCTAGTAGTTAGCACATTACATAGGAAATAGTAAGCCCTCATTAAATGTAGGCTAATAGTGAGTGAGTCACTCCAAAATGCAAGTAAGTCTTAGTGCTACCTCTAGTGTGTTTTTCTACTTCCCAGTCTTTACCATAATTTTACATGTTATGATGATTCAGGTAGATGAATTTTGTCATACTTAGTTTGTATCAGCCAGATAACAATGAAGGAGACCCTAAATGGAGAATTTTAATACTGTGGTAAATCCCAAGATGGAAGTATAGACAGGCTTATTATAGGAATATAGAGAAGGCACCCATCCCAGTCTGGGAATCTGAGCTGAGTTTCAAAGCTTAAAAAGGAGTTAGCCAGGCAAATAAGGTGTTGAAATAGAAGGTAAAGCAGATCACTTGACTATATCAGTTATAAAACAGTCATTTTGGATACACTGTTCAAGTAATGTCATTGTGTTATTTCCTGAGCTACTTGATGGAAGAGTTTGAATCAGGGCAGTGGCACATTCATTTCAATGTTTTTATGTAAACTATTCTTACAGCAGTCTAGAAGTAGTAAATTTCAATATATCCTCAGTAAAGTAGTGATCTTGTGGTAGGCTATTTCTGTAACTCAGGCTAAATGGCTGAGGGGGCTGTAATTAATTCCATGCTCACAAGTTAACTTAGTGGGCCAGAGAAATCACATAGTTTCTCTACATTGTAATGTTTTCTTATTTCTTTTTTCCTTGGATTTTTAAAGAACTTTTTAAAAATTTACTTTGTATTTTTTTTATCATATTGTAAATACTTTCCTTGATGCTATCTTTTCTAATTTTAAAAAATTGCTTCATAATATTTTAGCAGGTGCTTATAGTTTTTTAAACCATCCCTTTATGTTTGACATGTTTCAGTATTCACAATTATTTTTTTAAGATAAATTTCTAGAAATGAAATTATTAAAGTGAATGAACATGGTCTTGGAATTTGTTACCATAGTGCTTTTGCCAACAATATGTGGGTATAGTTTTATAATATTCTTGCCTGATAATTATTTTTTTTTAACATCTTTTTGGGACTTGAACAGGCAAGCGACTTCTTATTTTAATTGACATTTCTCTTAAATGTTAAACGTTTTCCTCTGAATATATTAAATTATTTTTTTTCATTTTACATTTATTCCTTGAATTTTTGTGTTTTATCAAATTATTCGAGCTGTTTATATAACAGAAGTATTGACTTCCCATCATGTTTGTATTTCTTACAATTCATTTAATTTTTTATCTAGATGTTTTTCATTTTTACATAATGTAACTTTTCTCATTTGTTGCTTTGCGCTTAGGAAGCCCTTCTTCCACATAGTAGATAGTCATTTTTATTTTCTTTTAGTTTTTTTATGTTTGTTTGTTTAATTCTTTTCTTAATAATATGTGGAGTGACATGAGGACCTAGATTTTTTTCTTTTGCAAAATTACTCACTGATCGTATTGGTGTCATTTGTTGAATAATCCTTCCTTTTCATATAATGTGCTTGTAATATGAAACCATATTTTATTTTTCTTCCTATTCTTGAGTCATTTAAGGTATTTTCAGACCTTTGAACCATTAAAAAATATTTTTTTACTGTTGTTAGAAATATCAGTCTTTTCCATAATTAAATTTTAAGGGGTTTTGAGGATAGTAATGTCTACATCACATCTTATTTCTTTCACAAGAATTACAATTTGTTATTTAATGACCATTAAAATTTATATAATGAAACTTTTATTAATCCCCATTAATATGATTCATAGTGGGGTATCCTAGTTTAATTCTTTCTTTCCAGGATAAAAACTACAATTATGCAGTGAAACTGCTCAGAGCAAGGAAACCCCTAGGATATGGGGACCTGCTGGACCTCTTACAGGTGTGTGAAAGTGTATCATTTGATCTCACAGTTATAAAATTTGGAAATAAAATATATTTATCAAACATAGTGTTATTCTATTAAAGGAGTTATGCTTATTAAAGAACTTAGGTAAAAAAAAAAAAAAAAAGAAAAGTAAACTTTTTTTCTGACCCCCTAAAAACCTGTCTTTATATTTTAAAGGAAATTGAAATAGAGAGTTTTGATTAAAAAGAGTTGACCTTTTCCTCTTTTTTCCTAGAATGATTTCTAAAAATGGTTAGCTCAAGATGTCTTTATTGCTACACAGCTTTCTCCTCAATGTGATTTCTAAAGTCTAAGTCCATAGGAGGGTTTTTATATAAAGCTACGTTTAAGTAGCACGTCATTAAAATTATTGTGTGTAAAGAGAGAGCACCTATCTCTTCAATTAGGAGAGCAAGATTAATTTCTGTTTAAGACTACTGTCACTTTTAAAAGAAGAAAAAACCAATTTTTAAAAAAGTATATTATATTTGCATCGTGATCTAGATATGGTAGATGTTTTCGTTTTCACAGTGCTTCAAATGACAGATCAATAGATTGTATCTTTTTTGTTATTGATTATTCTGGATAACATAGAAACTTTCTTTTTTGATTATTATATTCTTAAATAAACTGGGAAAAAAAGAAAATGTGAAGGAGGCAAGAGATAGAAGTTTGAGTCCTTTGAGTTACAGTAAAATAAAATTTATAAAGAGTTGGAAGCTTGACTTGGGCACCCATGTGTCCCTAAAAATTATTTTTAAAACTATTTTGATTTATCCTAACTTGAGACATTTGGGTAACTGTGATTGACCTGTATACATTTCACTGAAATTCACCTTATTTTATTCATTCTAAGCTGCACAGATTTCTCACATTTCAGTATTCCTTAAATTGATATGCATCTTACAATTGATGGCATCTTAGAATCATTGTGGGCTAGGTAACATGTAGGTGTCTTTTTTTGGTGCATAAGTGAACTTGTTTATGGTTCTTCTTATTATTATTACATCATTTGAGTTATATGCATTGTTTGTTATCCCGTAAGTTTGATTGCTATTTAAAATGTCACCCTAGTTGTTGTACAGAAATTTGCTGTTGACATTTTATGGTAAGGTCAAAAAAGCACCAGCATCAATATGTGTGGAATGGGTAACATTGGTTTAGAAGATGAGCTCAGAGACAGTAATGAAGTATTCTTTCAAAAAATGAGGCATCCTAAACAATCTGATTATAAAATAGGCAGAAAATCTATGTAGACATTTTTCCAAAGGAGACATACAGATGGCCAACAGGTATATGAAAAGATGCTCAGCATCATTAATCATCAGGAAAATGCACATCAAAACGATAATGAGATGTCGCTTTACACCTGTCAGAATGGCTGTTATCGAAGAAACAGGAGATGACAATGGCCTTGTTGGATGAAATTGCGAAGAACAATTCTAAGTGATTAGAAAGCATTGTATGGCACTGATTTTTCTGTATGATACTTGAGTGTGTCTTGAAGTCATTGTTATCAGAGACTTAAGAAAATACATTTTTTTTCCTCCTTTGAGAACAGTCTCTTTCATTTTTCTGAAAACTTTAGGCAGACAGCAGTGCAGATCATTGGTTCCTCTTAGATACTTTTAACAGTTTTAACTTAGATTTGCATTAAGTGCTGTTTACCTTAAAGAGTGGCAGTATAATGTTGTGGGAAGAATAGCGAACCAGGGGTTTAGAAGACCTGTTTTAAAAATCTGGCTTTACCGCTTACTGTGTGCTTGAGCCAAATCATGCTGTATAATATAAACTCTGTGATTATTGTGATACTCAAATGAGAAACCTGTAAACATCATAAAAATGATAAATGCAACTTGTTACTGTTGGAAACTTTTGTTTACCTGAACAGCATTTAATGACAAGGCACATTCAGTAGAGTTAGGGCTAGCGTCATACTTCATGGATTCTGACAGGAATGAATATGGTAGGATATTTACTGCTTCAGAATAGTATTTTTTTGAGCTTTACTGTCCTTTGTTAATCATTCATATAAATGTTTTGAGACATGGTTATGGAAAATTTGTGACTCTGGGTTTGAATCAAAACTTTTATGTTTAAGAAAACAAAGAAGTAAGGCAGGGAGCCCTTTTGGAAACACTGTTCTTTGCCAGTCATATTTGCCATCTCTTAGCTATGTTAAATCAGTAATTTATCCTGGCATACTGAGGGACTTTGCAGAGTATGCTGTAGGAAATTGTGGGCTTTATTTAGCACACTATAAAGGGAGCTTTTGGGAAAGAAAGTTGGGAATTTAAAAGATGAAATTAATGTTAACACTGGTTTTACATTTCTAATGGTGATTATGGATGACTTTCTAGCAAGTTCTTTTGAAAAATATGTTAAAACTAAAATTTGTATGTCTTAATTACAAGTCTTAAAGAATAATTGATGGATGTAGTACCTTTGAAAACCATATACCAAACACATAAGTTTAATGTTCTCTTTCCTTGGAATTCCATATTTAAATTCTCTGAGGATGACAAACCTGTCTTATTCATCTTTGTATAGCCATTAAGTAAGTGTATACTTAGTGATTTAATTTCATTTCGTAAATTTAATCAGGTATTCTACAGTTAGTGCATTTCCAACTTTTTACATTTTTGTTGCTACCTAAAAACTTCTGAAAGAATTGGCTTGGTGGAAGGAGTTTAAATTAAGATTTGGAATTGCAGCATGTTCCACCAATTAATTTAAAGTAATGCTTTAGTAATAAGAGGAGTAATGTTATTGTTTTTAATGAGTTTATTTCTTGAAGAAATTAGGACTATATAAATTCAAGACATGTAATGAAATTCTAGGGAGCTTCTGAACATTCAGAAGGGTGATGGGGATGATGTATGTACTCTTTTTAATTACTTTTTCTGCTCTAGAAGAATTCTTTTTCATATTTTCCCTTCTGCACTGTTGAAGAAATAGAGTGCTTCTTTGAGGCAGGAGAACTTCTGAGCAGTTGTCCCTAAAGAGTTTACAGCAAAAGATGGAGGAAAACTGAAAGACAGGGCTAGGAAAAAAGCATGGGAAAGCTGTAGCAAAGGGGGTAGTTTAGATATTGAGTCTGTAGTATCCATCTAAAGTATTTTAACTCTTACTGCTTGATTTCCATTTTAGTATTTACATAAAGTGGTTTTTATTAAGATTGTTAATCCTAGTTGTAAATACAAAAATGTATTCCTACTTATGAATTAGATTTAATAATTCATTTTATATGTGTTCTAAATAAAGCCTTGAAAGAGAACAGCTCAGAAGTTGTTCAGCCATTTCTAATGGGTTGTGGAACGAAGGAACCAAAGATTACTCAGCTATGTTTGGCCGCCATTCAGAGACTTATGTCACATGAAGTCGTGTCTGAGGTAATGTGAAGATTTTTTCTCAATTGTGCACCTGAGAATCAAATCAAGAGTTTTCATCAGGGGCGAATGAAGCATATTTGATAATTTAATGTAAAGCAGTTTATGTGCTTGAATCACCAGATTTTCTCACTATTAAACACTCCTGAATAATGAATGAATAAAGAAAAAGTGCATTTTGTCATGTCATGATTAAGAAGTCACCATCAGTAGTACAGATCAGTGTCATTGAAGAGAACATAATTTATAATTTTTTTAAAAGGAAGAAAAAATGATTTTCCTAGATTACCTGAAGTGATAATTTGTTCATTAATTTGAGTTGTTTGTATCTAACCAATATTATTATGATAAAACAAGGAAAAACACTTAATCACTATGAATCTGCATCCTGCTTTCAAATGTAGTGGTGTTACCATAACTTTGTACTCCATAAGGTTCTTTAATAGAAATGATAAATTCATTTGCTTTTAATATAACATTCTAAACAATATCAGATTTAATTGACTTTATAAATGTGTTAATTTGAATCACATTTTGTTTTTTGTGTAACATTGTAAATGGAATAATATATGAAACAGAGAAGTCTCAATTAATTTGCATATGTCTATAAATGTCTGAACAAAATATATCCACATTGTAGAAATGAGCTTCGACTTCTGACTAGGTATCTCAGTATTGGATGCAGTTATTTGCAAATATTCAAATGGTATGTTTTAAAGAAATTTTTTTTTTTGAGAAGAAAATTAATTAGCTGTAAATCTCAAATTAGTTGAGAGATGTGTTTTGATCTGTATAGATCTAGAAACATGGGTTTTGTTAGTGTGATCGAGAAATTCTCTCCAGGTGAGGTAATATTTGTACATCTTATTTAGGGATCTAAACACCTTATATTTTATTTGCTGACAGCAATTCAAATAATTATTTTACAGACTGCAGCTGGAAATATAATTAATATGCTTTGGCAGCTAATGGAAAACAGTCTTGAAGAACTTAAGCTACTTCAAACAGTTCTTGTTCTTTTAACAACCAATACGGTAGTTCATGACGAATCACTCTCTAAGGTAGGACACCCGTTGTCGAAGTTCATAAGTGCTTTGAGACAGTATTAGAATGAGCTTGCTGAAAGAGGAAAGCCTTGTACTGTTTGTACCAAAAGCAACTTCCCTGTGGCTGTCACGATAATGGGCATTGCACGTTAAAAACCACTGGTGCCTTATTGTTCCCAGATTAGAGTGGAAATGAGGTTTAGGTAATTGAGCAGAGCCCTTTGGGAATAGCTCATAGGCTTAGTCACAAATAGGAAATGAAAAGAGAAAAGTAGCCCACAGAAATAGAAAAAATAGGTTTGGAGGTATCAATATTCTCGGTTGCTTTGGGTACTTTATTCATTTACATGCTTAGCATATTTATATTTCTCCAGATGACTAAGTGATATAACAACCTTTAAGTCCTTGGTTTTTGCAAAACAAGTCATTCTGGGAGAATAAAGCATAACACATTTTTATATACATGCTAAAAGAACCAAGTTGTGAAAGGCATATTTCACATTATCTTACCTAATTTTATGTGGTTGTATATTTACAGAGAGTTTGAATTACTTCAAAATCCAAGGATTTTACTAGTTTTATTATATAAGATGGTGGAATTTTTAGGATCTACGATTGGAATAGCCAAACATAAATTAGTTAGATTTGGGTTACAGCAAAGAAAATAAATAGTTATTCTGTTCTTCAATCTTTTATCACCAAATGAAAATTGTTCCTTTAGGCAATTGTTCTTTGTTTTCGACTACACTTCACAAAAGATAATATTACAAATAATACAGCTGCTGCTACCGTGCGACAAGTTGTTACTGTTGTTTTTGAGAGGATGGTTGCTGAAGATGAACGACACAGAGGTAGAGTGATAAAAGTGGTTTCTTCTATCCATGATTTTTCTCTTTTGATTTTCAGTCTTTGCCCTGTGAACTTAGGCTACCGAAAAACTAGATACTTGAAAAAATATATTTATTTTAACAATACTATTATATTGACAATGGCAGTTCAAAAAACTAAATCCCCGGTAGTATTACACCCCAAGACTCTTTATTTTCTGTTTATTTCTAATTATGCATAACTTCACATTTTATACCAAATACTACATTATATGTATTTTTAGCTAAACATTACATTATATGAATTTTTCATGTTATTCTTTTATTTTTGTAATTTAAATTTTAATGGATGCACTATGTTTTGTGACTATTCGGCAGTTTAATGAACTAGTTTCCTGTTGGACACTTACATTGTCTTTAGTATTTTAGTACTCTTATGAGTGTCCTCCTACATATATTTTTCCATTTGAATTGCTTCTTTAAGGTAAATTTCCAAGAGTGGGTTTCCCCTCATGTGAATTTTTGTCTGTACCCATTAAGATGTGTTAATGAAAGATATTTATGTATATAAAGATTAATCTTTTCATATTTTCATCAAATATCTTTATTGTAATTTTAAACATCTTTTTCTTTGTGATTTAAAAAAATTTTCTAAAAACTTAGAAACATGTCAGAGCTAGAGATACTGTTTGTTATAGTTTTAATAGTTTGATAACTTTTAGCTATAGAAATTGTATTTTTCACTTGTTATTGAATGAAAAGTAAATTAACCCCCATAATTAGCTGAAATGATCATAAGGTGTTACCTTCTAAGCAACCTGTCTGCTTTATGCATTCAAGAAACAAAAGTTAAACTACCTTTTCCTTTTACATGGCTTCCCCCACCCCCACCTCTTAATTTTATGCTCTGATTTCATTTGAGGTTCTTTTGGTATTACTTTAAAAAATGGGAATACTAGTAAGTAGTGGTAATGCTGCCTATTCTAATAATTCCTTCAGTTTTCCTAAAGTTAACCATTGGTCAGATTTTTCTTTTTTTTTTTCTTTTTTTTCTTTTTTTTTTTTTTTTTGGTCAGATTTTTCACATTCAGTTTCAGACATTCTTAATCTGTTGGTTTATTAGAATATTTCCACATATTTGATGTATTGGTTTTTCTTCTTTTTTTTCCCCAGGGTTAATGCCAGTTGCAGTCTAGAGTTTGAAATATTACAGAATTAAAGTTATAGGATAAAACAGGGCAGTTCTCCAGTTTGGATGTGTTATAAATTCATAACATCACTATGATTCCTGGATTGGTAGTTTTAGCCGTGTGTCTCTAAAGACCAGTATCTCATTTAATACTTTCTAATAAGGTGGAAATACTTAGAACTTTATTTGTTTTTTAAGTAGTCATTAAGTCAACATTTATTCAAAACAGGCTGTCACAATTTACAGGAAAGGATATCTTACTAGTATTCAAAGAAATGCTGAGTAGGGAAGCACCTTTCTAGCTGTCACTTAGCTAGTCAGTATCTATATCTGACATAGTAATTGTGGCAGATTAAGCAGTTAATTCTCTGGTATATGCTGAGATGATAATGGAATTAACCATGTGGTAAACTTTTATGTTTGTTTGATATTTAAAGGCGCATTCATCAATCATGTGAATTTCAAATCCATAAAATAAAGGGATTAGATAATGGGAACCTGGGAAAATCAAATGTGTAGGATAAAAGTAACAAGCTTACTAAAATGACATAAGATAGTTAAGAGTAGTTTTTATGGCATTTTATATAAAAATAAATTCCTGATTTTTCCTTCCATTTTGGGGGCATAGTTCTGAGCCTATATTTAAAGTTTATGATTTCATAAACATTTATTTTAAATAGCATATAGGATTTATTAAAGGTCATTATAAACCCCTAAAACACATCCTATTTTGATTGCAGATATTATAGAACAACCAGTACTGGTCCAAGGAAATAGTAACAGAAGATCTGTCAGCACCCTCAAACCTTGTGCTAAAGATGCATATATGCTTTTCCAGGTATTTCAGTTGATAAAAATAATTTTTATTATAGAATATACTTTTGTGTGAATTTTTGATTTTGGAATTTTATGTCTGATTTAATTTTTAAAGTGTCAGTTTTTTAAATTGTCAGATTTTAAATGGTCAAAAGTAGTATTTTAACAATGTTATAAAAATGTCATAAAACTTTAAAGAGCATCATCTATAGTTAATAGCTAAGCAACATGATAAAATGTTACATTTCATTTTAAGTAAGTAAAATGAATTAGCCCCAGAACTAGAAAAATAGGCATATTAGGGATGACTAGTAATATAAAATAATTCCTTTAACATAAAAATTTAACTAATAAGCCTTTGGTCTATTTAATATAATTTGATATACAGATACCTGATTTTTATGTTACTTGTCATGAATAAATAAATCTTTTAATTAAAATAAGATTTATCTGCACTGAAGTTTTTATTTTTTATTAAAGGGTTAAGTGTTTTTTTCATTAAAAGACTTAACCATTTATCTGTACACCTTATGTATTATCAATAGTTATATAGTTCTATGAAAGTTTACTTATATAATCAAGTATATAGTTTGTCAGAATTGAATTACCAGTGCTTAGTTTCTAAGGGGTAAAAATAACTACTATATAAGAAGAGATAATTTTTAAAAATTTTATGAATTTTGGAAAGCACATTTCATTCCAGTACGTGAATGTTTTATTTATTTTTTTATTTATTGTTTGACTTATTTTCCCAGGACCTTTGTCAGTTGGTTAACGCTGATGCCCCTTACTGGCTAGTAGGGATGACAGAAATGACTCGAACATTTGGCCTTGAATTACTTGAGTCAGTCCTGAATGATTTTCCACAGGTCTTTTTACAAGTAAGCCATTTGTAGTATCTTGTAATAAAAATAATCATAATTTTTTCATAGATGGTTTTTAAGAAAGTAACATATATTCTTTTTCCCACGTTAGAGGATTGAAAGAATTACAGCTTCAGACTATGTTATTGTAGTGCCCTACCATTTTGAAATTTTAACATTAGAAGGAATCCCTAGGGACCGCCTAGTGAGGCATTTCCCATCCTGTGTATATTAGGGAATTTGGTAATGAGCTATTTTTTATAATATTTGAAAATTGAAATATAAAAACTATGTGCTTTTGGATAATTCAGGTGGAAAAAAGAAGTAGTCAGTGGTTGATAAATTTAACTTGCAATACAAAATACTTCAACACAGTATTGGGAGTAAATAGGGAGTAAAGTAAGAAAGACTCCAAACTTCTAATTTAATTTGCAAGAGGCTAAAGTCTAAAATTGATTCAATGATGTACATAGGGTTCCTTAGTTATTAGCGCATCTTAAACTGAAATTTAGATCTTTTTACTACTAGCCTAGCTCTTTTCCCTACCATAATGCTTCCTTAAGTCGTCTGTTTTATCTTTCACTCTGACCTACAAAATGTGTGAATCACGTGCCGCAATAGTAGATTCTTTAGCCCAGGATTTGGAACTGAAACTTTTATTATATGGTTGATAATTTGGGGGCATAAAGGTCATGATGATAAGAATACTTTGAGTAGAGTTGGGTTGATTCCTTGTGGTTATAAAGGAAGCCCAGTTGTATTCAGTTGAGTGGTGAGGGGAAAAAGTGGATAGATAAAACTTTTAAGGTTGTCTGTAATATTTATCAGTTAACCAATATATAAATTTATTTAGTGAAGTATGAAAATGTATATTTGGTGGTCAGAGAAACCAACTGTAGATATGACAGTAGAATTTCAAACCACCTAACTTTTAAGATCCCATTTAGAGGGCAAAGAATTAGAAAGTATATTAAAATGCATATAAAAGTCTGGAAAGATATACATTCAGAAGTTAGCAATGATCAAATAACTTATCTATAGGAAGTGAGATTAGACAAGACTTTTATTTATTTTTTTATTAATTTTTATTATTCATGACAGACACAAAGAGAGAGAGAAGGGGAGAGGCAGAGACACAGGCAGAGGGAGAAGCAGGCTCCACACAGGGAGCCCAACATGGGACTCAATCCTGGGTCTCCAGGATCACACCCTGGGCCAAAGGCGGCACTAAACTGCTGGGCCACCGGGGTTGCCCAAGACTTGTATTTTTATCTTTACGCTTACTGATATTTTCTCATTTTTGTTCTCTAGTCCATCTCATTTTTTATAAGGAGACCTCTAAAAAAATCATAATTCTGAGTGAATAAATTCAGAGCAAATAAATGGCTCTGTGCCTTGTTTTTTTTTTTTTCCTTTTCTGTAAGATTAAAGATTAGATTGGATGATTTTTATAATTTTGTCTTGTTCTCAGCCTCAATGATATTTGGATGATTAAAACAACAAAAGAATGTATATTTGAGGTTAGACATTTAATATACTCTAGACCTGGGACACCTGGGTGGCTCAGCAGTTGAGCGTCTGCCTTTGGCTTACGGTGTGATCCCTGGGTCCTGGGATCAAGTCCCGCATCTGGCTCCCTGCATGGAGCCTGCTTCTCCCTCTGCCTGTGTCTCTGCCTCTCTCTCTGTATATCTCTCATGAATAAATAAATAGAATCTTAAATATATATATATTCTAGACCTTATGCTATCAGTAAAATGGGACTACTTTTGGCTAATATAGGCAGGGAGTTAACAGTTTAAGGAAGGTTTTCTGTATAATATGCCATGACTAATCAAGTAAAATTTAAGAATCCCTTGCAAGCTTTCCCGGACTTTAAAATAATTAGGGTGCCTGACTGGCTTAGCCAAGGGGCATGCGACTCGATCCTTAGGGTCATGAGTTTGAGCCACATGGTGGGTGTAGGGATTGAAGAAATAAAAACTTAAAAAAAAAATGCTTGGCATTGAGTTTTTTTAAAAAGCAGCATATTGCATTCCGTTTAAGCGATCTAAGTAGAATGAAATACTAAGTTAATTATTAAATCCTCCATGCCTGAATGGAATTGTTATCTTGGCAAAATAAAATTAATGAATAATATAACATTTATCTGGTGTTCTCTCAGCTGCCTATTTTAAATGCTTTAGGTGTTTGAATTTGTGTAATATGTCTTCTTTCTTCTTTTCTTTGTTTTTAATTGCTAGTGTTCTACCAAAATTAAAATGACAAATGATGAACCACTTAATTCTAAATGATTAAATATTCCTTTTTAAATTGGATTCTTTTTAAAACTTTTTGAAATATTGACGATCATTTTGATCTTATACTCTAAATAGCAACACTAATTTCATAATTGTGTGTAAACTGTAGAATAGTAAATTAAACATAATAAAGCTAAATTATTCATACTGATTATTAAGTTTTGTTTGCTAGTAAGACTGTGTTTTAAAAGTATTAAGTACAAACTAAGTTAATTTTTTTTTTTATCTTTGCAAATAGCACCAAGAGTTTAGTTTCCTCCTCAAAGAAAGGGTATGTCCTCTTGTGATAAAACTCTTTTCTCCAAATATAAAGTTCAGACAAGGTTCCAGCTCTTCATCTTCTCCGGCACCAGTTGAAAAACCGTATTTTCCCATCTGCATGCGTTTGCTGAGAGTAGTATCTGTTCTGATTAAGCAATTTTACAGCCTTTTGGTAAGTGCTAATTGTATGTGTAATTCCATGTAGTGCTCTTTTTAAATGGTGATTTATTTTAATGCATTCAGTTTTTTTTTCACTTTAGCAGAATTTCTTTTTAAGTATTTATAGGTATTTTTCTGCTTACCCTATGGGTTTATTCTGTACTTTCTTAGATTCTGCTTATGTTTTATATAGTATTTTTAATGTATATCAAGGAGAGTCATGGCCTGTTATCTGAAGGCAGCACAGAATTTGTGGCTTGGGAATTTAGCTTTTTAGCTAATTATCTATATGTCATTTGAAGGATAATAAAAATTACAGTATCTGCAATTTATACTGCTTTCACTTATACTATTTCATGTATATTAACAGATTAAAGCAAAGAAGTTAAAAATTTGGTGAACTCTAGGATTAAAAATCAACTGTTCTGACTTCTAGTCCAGTACTGTATTTATTTTGCATACATTTATGTATGCCGAGGTCTCCTGGTACTTGCTGAAAATAAAAAGTAGTTTAATTTCTCCAAAGATAGGGAGCCTTTATCTGTCAGCTATTACACTTTCTAAATTATACTTATTTATAGTCTGTTTCAATCCACAAAGAAACTTTTTAAAAAATGTAAATCCGAGTGACATCAGCAAAACGTTTGAGTTTGGAGCTCCAGGCCCTCTGTCCTCCAAGGAGACACCAAGTTAACAGTACATAGATTACTTCTGTGAGAACTTCAGATATAGTTAAGAGGTTATATGTAAGGTGAAGCAGAGAGGTTCATTAGAGTGGATAGGAAACCTCATTGCACTTACCTGCATACCTCATCCCACTCCTAACACAGCATAGGGTGTGTGATCAGGAGAAAACTCTTGACCTGCAGCTTCTCCTTCAGATGGGAAAAAAGATGAAATAGTGTAACCACCATTCTGACTTTTTGGGGGTATGCCCAACCCATTTCATCTCACTGACAAGAAAGGCAGCAGAATACTTGGGCCTACTGAGAACAAAGGCAAGGCCTGCTGCTTGCTGCTGCCCAGAGAGCATCGTAATGTGGACATACACCAGGGGGAGCTCCATTCTAAATAAAAACAAATAAATGTCTTCAGCTAGGAAATTACACACACAAGCTCGGAGGAGACACATTGACAGAAGAGGTTTGAGAGGATCCCAAGCTTATTGGTGAAGATCTTTCCACATATAAAGCCAGTCCATAAAGACTAAAAGAGTTGGCTTTTTTCAAATGCCCAAATTTAAACAACAATAAAAAATAACAAGGCATATACTAAGAAACAGAGAAACATGGCCCACTTCAAGGAACAAAATTAATCTCCAGAAACTAACCATAAAGAAATGGAGGTCAGTGAGTTACCTGAAAAAAATTCAACATGATCATAAAGATGCTGAGTGAGCTAGGAGAGAATACAGACAACTAAATGAAATCAAGAAAGTGGTGTATGAACAAAATGAGAATATCAGTAAAGAGATAGAAACTGTAAAGAAGACTAAAACAAAAACAAAGTATAAGAATACAGTAACTGAATTGAAAAAGTCACTAGAGGGGGTCAACAGTAAATTGGATTAGTAGACTAGAAGAAAGAATCAACAGACTTGAAGACAAGTCATTTGCAATTACCAGGTCAGAAGAACAACAACCAAAAAAAAAAAAAAAAAAAGAATGAAGAGCCTCTAAGGGACTGATCGTATACCATCCAGTAGACCAAGATACACGCCTGGAAAAACACACTGGGTTCCATTCTCATACTCATAACACCTCAGACATCAGGATTTTTACTCATATCAACCAGTTCTCTGACAGCCAGATATCCTACATTTCAATTCATTTCTAACACTAACTAGAGTTAGCACAGATCATACAGTTAAAGACTCAGTCCCACAAAAGACTCTTCTCTGTTGCAGATGCCAGTTGTAAGTACTAGGTTGCCTGGTTGCTCACAAATTCTAACTTGGTTATATATGGGAAGTTCCCACAACCTCCTCTTTGGGTTTGATAATTTGCTAAAGTAGTTCACAGAACCTAGGAAAACAGTTTACTTACTATTGCCTATTTATTACAAAGAATATTTTAAAAGATACTACTGAACAGGCAGATGAAGAGATTCATAGAGCAAGGTCTGGAAAAGTCCCAAGAGCAGGAGCTTCTGTCTCCCTGAAGTTGGGGTGTGCAGCTCTCTTGGCATGTAGATGTGTTCACCAACCTAGAAGCTCCCTAAACTGTACTTTTAGGATTTTTACAGTGTGTTTTTTTTGTTTTAATTCAGTTTCTACCACTCTCCCCTCTCCAGAGAATGAGGGATGGGGCTGTAAATCTCAAGTTTCTAATTATGATTGTTTTTCCTGGTATCCAGCTCCTACTCTGCATTCCATCAAGAGTTGCCTCATTAGAATTGAAGATACTATTCACATAGGAAATTCCAAGAGACTTAGGAGCTCTGTGTTAGATGCTTCTATTACTCAGGAAATTATGGGGATTTTAGTGTCAGAAACTAGGAACAGAGATCAATATACATATTTATTACTTCACAATACATTATGGAAGTCTCAGATGAGGAAAGAAAGAGACAGCCTATTTGAAGTAAAGGCCCCAAATTTCCCAACTTTGAAAAGGAAAGGAACATATAAATTCATGAACTCAGAGAATTATAACTAAGATTAATCTATACCAAGGGAGCTATACCAAGACACATTATAATTAAGCTGTTAAAATTTACAGAGAATCTTTCAAGCAGCAAAAGGAAAGCAACTTGTCATATGCAAAGGATCACTCCTAAGACTGTCAGTAGATTTCTCAGAAACCTTATAGGTTTCAAATCTTACAGGTTCCCAGAAGGAAATGGGATACTATATTCAAAGTACTGGAAGGGAAAAAACCTGCCAGTGAAGGGGAAATTAAGACCTTGCCAGATAAAAGCTGGTAGAGTTCATTACCTGTGACAAGGCCAAATATATATCACTCTCCTACTTATTTTCCTAAATATTATCAGAGTTGTCTTAGGAGGGCTTCTCTCTAAAATGCAGGTTTAGCTACATTAAATTAAGATAAGGGTATATATAGGAAGAAAAGACATTCCTCCTTTTCTTTTTCATAGCCACTGGTCAGTCATAGAGCACCAAGTCTTCTGTTCTCACAGTAATGCAGCGTGCTTATATCTTAACACATATAACAAATCATAACAATATAGAATATAACATAACAAATATAGAATATACATTTTCTGTTTCCAAACCAAGAATTACCAACTTCTTTTTTATTTTTATAAAACTTGGTGCTGAGTTGTGCCCCTCAAAATGAACATCATAGCATTTGGAGATGGAATCTTTGAGAGATACTTAGGTTTAAATGAGATCATGCAGGTAGGGCCATCATGATGGGGTTTAGTGACCTTATACAAAAGGAGCTTGTTTGCTCTATTTCTATCACGTGAGAACATGGTAATAAGGCAGCTGTCTGCAAGCTAGGAAGAGTGGTGTCACGCAAACCTGATGATGCTGGCACCCTGATCTCAGACTTAAAGCCTCCAGAACTGTGCCAAATAAATTTGTTACTTAAGCCACCCAGTCTATGATCTTCTGCTATGGTATCCCAACAGTCTAAGAACTTGGCTTCTCTCCACTCGTTCTGTTATGTAGCAGTTCATCTGGTGACTTTTTCAGAGATAGGGATACCCTATTCTTCAGTAATTTCAGTTTTTGATGAAATTGCTGTTTTTGAGTGCATATATTTTGGACACTGCACAAGGTGCTTTACATATATTAATTCATTTAGACTTTAATACAGCTGAAAAAATGAGACTCAGGATATTTATGTAATTTGCCTGAGATCATACTTTCTAAGCCATGGAGCTGAGATGTTAATGAATTCTTTTATAGACCCTAAACCCCATGCTCTTAATTCCAGTGCATTTGACTTCTCTGCTTTCTTACTACTGTTCCTATACCATTCTCCATATTTAGACCTTAATTTCTTTCACTTGAGGGGATAAAAGTGGAACATAAATAACAGTATTGCCAGCTACAAGAAAGATTGATTGTTATTACCTCAAAGTAGAAAAATGCCTACTTCTGTGTATTTCACTCATAGGGGCTGATAACCAACTGGTAAAATTTCCCTTCCTGATAAGGCAGCTCTAGGACTGTGTTTATAAAGATGAATTCTTCAGTTATATATAAGATATTAGTTCCTCAGGGGCTCCTGGGTGGCTCAGTCAGTTAAGTGTCTGCCTTTGGCCCAGGTCATGATCCCAGGGTCCTGGGATGGAGCCTTGCGTCAGGCTCCCTGCTCAGCTGGGGAGTCTGCTTCCTCTCTGCCCCTACTCATGCTCTCTCTTTTGCTCATACTCTCTTTCAAATAAGTAAATAAAATCTTTAAAAAATGAAAAGATATTAGTTCCTCAGTGTTACACTTTGTGACATTGGAACTTATCAGTATGGGAAAGTTTAGACATTCTACAGTTTCTCCAAAGGCAAAAGTTAAAAGTGCGGTACTTGTGGAATAGGATATGTAATTGTTATGGAATGCTTGTCTCTCCTTTCTTTGTGTTTTCTTTATTTAAACATGGAAATGATACATCTCCTAGGAGACATACTAGAGTAATAATTCTTATACTTTGTAGTCTTTGGATCCCATTATACTTATAATAAAATATTGTGGAGCTTTTGTTTATGTGGATAATTTCTGTCATTTATTTTGTTAAAGATTAAGTCTGAGATTATATTAAACCCATTCTTGTTAACATAAAAACTTACTATTTTTCCAATGGGAAAACAAAGATTTTATATATATATATATTTTTTTTAAGTAATATCTTCTTTTATTTTTAATTAATTTGTTTTTTTTTAAAAAAAGATGTATTTATTTGAGAGAGAGTGTGCAAGTTGGAGGAGGGGCAGAGAGAGAGAGAGAATCTCAAGCAGGCTCTGTGTTGAGCCCAGATGCAGAGCCTGACATGGGGCTGAGTCTCACAACCCTGAGATCATGACCTAAGCCCAAACCAAGAGTCAGATGCTTAACTGACTGAGCAACCCAGGCACCCCAAAGATTTTGTAACTTTTGCAAATTTCTTTAATGGCTGGCTTAGTAGAAGATAGTTGGAGTTTCATATCTTTTGTTTTCGATCTGTTGTGCTACTTTGTTTTGGTTGAAGCATATGAAGAAAATCTGGCTTCTCAAAGTTATGTAGTTGAAAAAGGCAGAATTGTCTTCATGGATATTAATATTATCTTAACAATAGATCCTCTTCTTTGATACTACACCAAAATGGCCTAGTGATAGCTTAAAGGCATAGAATCTGAAAACTTAGAAATGACATTTTCATACTGGTTACATTAAAATTCATTGATTCATCTTGTGCTCTGATTGTATCTTTTCTCCATACATGATTTTGTAATATGTATTTTAGTGATGCAGATATTCCAAATGTTAACACTTTATACATTATTACCAAGAATTATGTAGGTTAGTCACCAGCTATTTTTCAGATAAGTCTCCTGTTATTAAGAAGTTGTCAATGTCAAAATGGTAGATACGAGTTTTCTGAAACACTGATTTTTGTTTGAAAGCTTGAATCATTATTGGCAACAAATACTGTCATTTGTTTCCCTGAAAGTGACAAGCTTTCTTTGTTCATTTTTGACAAGTATCTGCATTATACACAAGTCTAAATAGTTGTATTTTATCTTTTGCTCTTTCAGCCAAAATGGTGTTCCATAGGCGAAAAAGTGACTAAATCATTCTGAACTGTGCTTTTCCTCCAGACAACCATTGTACGTTGATATATAGTAACAATGCTTCATATGGATTCTCATTTTGTCGCACAGAAAATTAAAAAGACATGCACTTATAAGTTAGACTTAAAATCAATAATTTAAATTTTGTATTCTTGCTATTTTTGTTTTATTTTTATTCATCATGGTTTTTTACTGAAATAAACCTTTTTTTAAAAAAAAATATCTGAGTGGTTTTAAAAAAAAAAAAATGCCTGGGTGGCTCAGCAGTTGAGCGTCTGCCTTCGGCTCAGGCCGTGATCCTGGTGTCCTGGGATTGAGTCCCGCACTGGGCTCCCTGCATGGAGCCTGCTTCTCCCTCTGCCTGTGTCTCTGCTTCTCTCTCTGTATCATGAATAAATACATAAAATCTTAAAAAAAAAAAAAACTAAGTGACAATGAAGAATAGACACTAGTGCAGTTTGCTGTTAGTGTCTTGATTCTTACCAAAGTTGTTTTACCCACCGTTGCTTTTGTACCATCAGTACAAATGTTAATAAAATGAAAATGGCAAGTAATATCTTCTATTACTATAAAAATTATTGTGACCTCACTTTGACCCCACGTTGGGGAAATCACTGAACTAGTGAATCTGTTCTCCCCCAGTATTCATCAGCTTATCTTATTCTATCAAGTAGCTCAGGGATAAAGATAACTAATATTCAAAGTTTAGTTCTGTTAATATATCTAGACTGACTAGAGGAAATTAGAATGCCCCATTCAGAAAGGGTGATAATATAGCTAGTATATTATATTCTTTCTCTTTTTTTTATCATCTGAGCTAGGTACTTCTCTGTTTTCTGAATCATTTATTTTAGGCTTTGTGCCCAGATAATCTTTTTAAGGAAGATATGTTTAAGGAATTTATGAAACTTAATTATAAATGGCCAGCATATCTCTCTTCTGCCTTTGACTCACTGCTTTTAAAAAGGAATAAATGGGGCTAAATTGACTTACCCAACTTAATTTTCCACTTCTTCACATAGATGTCTCCAACAAAGGATCTTAGCACTAACAAATCCATTAGCTATAGGGTTATTAACTCTTATCAGCCCTTGAGAGATAGACTCCTGCGTCTTTTTATTGTGTCCTAAGCCAACAGTTATCTTAGGTATATTATTATGTAATAATCCCTTATCGGAAGAAATCTATGTAATACTGTGATTAGAAATTCTACCAGGATGACTTTGATTAATCTTAAGCATCATTTGTCTCTTGACTACTGTGCATTACCTGAGAACTGTAGGAATTCAAAAACATTCATCACTCTTTATGGTGGTATAATGGAGTTCATGAAGTATCTTCATGCCACAAGGAATTGGACTTAGGCCATAGATACCAGTCTTAATACCTGTTTCCCTCTGAGTTTAACCTCTTGGGGAAAAGGCTTAACTGATGCACAACAGGCACACTCCATTCATGTCCTTAAAAATAATTCAATGACCTCAACATGAGTTCACTGATCAGACTTTCATACTCGGCAAGAAAGGAGGAAGGGAGAGCAAAGTTCCAGACCTCAGGAGGAAGCTCTCCTTTACCCAAATCACAAGGTTGTAGTGGCTACAGTATAAATTGATTGATACATGTTGTAGTCCATCTCCCATAGGAGAGAAAATGATACACTCTTCAAGGCAAGTTTTAGAACAGTATTGCCTCTGGCTGTGATATAATGATGTTTCTGAGAACCTTTTTTTCTGGCCTCAAAACTTAGCTGATGAACCTTCAGTTCTACTACATTTATTTTTTTTTAAATTTTTTTATTTATTTATGATAGTCACAGAGAGAGAGAAAGAGGCAGAGACACAGGCAGAGGGAGAAGCAGGCTCCAGGCACCGGGAACCCGACGTGGGACTCGATCCCGGGTCTCCAGGATCGCGCCCTGGGCCAAAGGCAGGCGCCAAACCGCTGCGCCACCCAGGGATCCCTCTACTACATTTATATTTTACTTTCACTCTAAAATAGGTAGTATACATTTGGATGACCCACTAATGTTAAAAATCTATAGTAGATACAACTTGCACAGTGGTCACCAGCGCAATTCTTTTTCAGTTCTTTATTAAAAGGGTCATTTGTTTAGAAAAAAATAACATGCTCTGCATTTGCATGGCACTTTATCATGTTTAGGGGACATTTTTATTCTTACAGATTTCTCATTTGATTTCTCAGGAAGATGTAGATACTTTTGTCCTTTATTTATAAGAAGGCTGTGTAGCATGTCATCCACTCGGTAGGTAAAGAAGCTGAGCCCATCTGATTTCTGAGCTAGTGTTTTTCAACTGTCCTCATGATGAGGATGGTGATAAACCTCTGTCTTCTTTCACAGTCATAGCTGTCCAAGGATAAAGTGTTTTATGATCCCTCCTGCTTTATCCTCATGATTATGTCCTAGATGTAAGCATCTAGTTAACAGTACTGAAAACCATTAGAGAATACCAGCTGCTAAGACTTTGGGCGAACATCCTGAAGGCTGCTATGTTCCTGAAATTTTTTGCGCCACATGATGCTCGCTCATTTTCGGGTACCCCCAGCTAACTTGTCCAATAATGTGCTGCAGTTGGTGTGAAAGGAGGGTTCAGTTTGGCCTAGTAATCACAATGTCACACTCTTAGCTCCCAGAGGTCCTACTATGTCCTCAGTTACTATGCAACAGAAGTAATCCATTGACCTTTGAAAAACCTGGTTATACTTTTTTTTGGTCATTTATTCATTTGTCAGACATTTAATGCATAGTGTTGAGAATGTGCTTCAAACATTTTTATTTACAAAGAGCTTGCTGAGGAGATTGCTTACATTAAATAATAACAGTAATGATAACTCATAAAGCAAAACTATGTACCAGGACTTATCCTAAGTATTTTGTGTATCTTATGCTACAAATTCCTTTTTGTTTTCCTACTAGAAGATATAAATTAAACTTGCTTAGGCTTATTGCTTTTTGTTTAAACAGCAAAAGAACATATGGAAAAACTTGTGGTATTATTGAAGAGTAGAACACACATCCTGTCAGCAGTTTACATGATATATGCTTCCTGCCGGAATGAGGATGGTGGGATAGTGCATAGTGCTTTCTAAAGAGTAAGGGTAAAAGATTAACCATGTTAGCAGATCACTTGCGTGTGTTTTCAGGGTTGTAGACAGAGATTGATGGTTTATACTATTAGTTTTTCCCTAAAGAACTGCTTTTCCCTTCTTTTTCTCTACTTCCCATTAAGAATTTTAATTTATGACAAGGATTTTAATTTATTTAAAATTAGTAGGTTTTATTGGTTTGCCCATAACACTAAGAACAGGAATGTAATTTGTAAATTCTCATCTTAGATTTAAGAAATAATATTTTAAAAGTCTTATACTTTTTAGGTAACTGAATGTGAGATATTTCTGTCACTTCTGGTGAAATTTTTGGATGCAGATAAACCACAGTGGCTACGAGCTGTTGCAGTAGAATCAATACACAGACTCTGTGTGCAACCTCAGCTATTAAGGTAAAACCTCAGCAATATTTTGTTAAATACATAAGTTAATGTTTGCTAGTAGGAACAGTTTAAGTATTTATTCCCAAATATTAATGATTTCTAAACAGAGAAAATCGAATATTGTATGTATATGGAGGGGTAGTAGTGTGAGTATGGAAAACAACTGAGAGATGGGCAAAAAAATATGGGTAGTAATTGCTGTCAACCCAAATATATTGGTTAATATGGCCAAGATGTTCTCAGTCTGAACCTTTGTACTAAGTAAAATCAGGTGTGATGAAGTTTTAAGTATAGCATTCAGACTGATATATCAACATCACTTACTATAAAAAATGTTAAAATTTTTTAATATGTTCAAATATTTTTCTCAGAAACATTTAAAATTTTACAGGTCATTTTGTCAGTCCTATGATATGAAACAACATTCTACCAAGGTTTTTCGTGATATCGTGAATGCTCTGGGATCTTTTATTCAGTCATTGTTTCTTGTCCCTCCTACTGGAAATCCTGCTACAACAAACCAAGCTGGTAAAAGCTAATTCATATTTTGTTTTTATATTCTGCTATGATTTACTATATTCACTATTCTGAGAGGATATTATAGAAATTTTGTGACTAGAGAAATTTGGATTACCTAAATGTAATGTTCAGTCTCATTGAGGCAACTGTGTTTATCTTTCCAGAATATGTTTCCTTCTCTGATATACTTTGTTTCTCACATAAGAATAAGACTTTATTTTTATTTTATTTTTTTTTTAAGATTTTATTTATTTATTCATGATAGTCACACACAGAGAGAGAGGCAGAGACATAGGCAGAGGGAGAAGCAGGCTCCATGCACCGGGAGCCCGACGTGGGATTAGATCCCGGGTCTCCAGGATCGCGCCCTGGGCCAAAGGCAGGCGCTAAACCGCTGCGCCACCCAGGGATCCCCAAGAATAAGACTTTAGATACTTATCCTCATTTTAGAAGAATCTTCATTTTGGGGCACCTGGGCATCTCAGTCAGTTAAGCGTCTGCCTTCTGCTCAGATCATGATCCCGGGGTCCTGGGATCGAGCCCCATGTCTGCTTCTTCTCCCTCTGCTCCCCTCTGTCTGTGCTCTCTCTGTTCTTCTCTCTCTCAGGTAAGTAAATAAAATCTCTCTTTTTTTTTTTTTAAAAAAAAAGAAAAGAATTTTCATTTTGTGCCTCTCTTTAAAGAATCTGGTTCACCACCTTAGGAGGTGTATTAGTCTCTCTCTCTCTCTCTCTCTCTCTCTCTCTCTCTTTTTAATATGGTATAAAACTTTATTATTTACAAATGTCATTTTGTAAGTAGTGTGGTCTGTATATCTTAAATTTCCATCCCAGGACTACAGTTTTGGCATAGTAGCTCTGTGCAAAAGCTACTCTCCTGCTTATTTTTTTTTAGAAATTTATTTTTTATTGGTGTTGCCAACATATAGAATAACACCCAGTGCTCATCCCATCAAGTGCCCACCTCAGTGCCCGTCACCCAGTCACCCCCACCCCCTGCCCACCTCCCCTTCTACCACCCCTAGTTCGTTTCCCAGAGTTAGGAGTCTCTCATGTTCTGTCTCCCTTTCTGATATTTCCCACATTTTTTTCTCCTTTCCCCTTTATTCCCTTTCAGTATTTTTATATTCCCCAAATGAATATATCAGTCTCTCTTTTAACAAAATAGGTAAACTTGATTTAACCTTGTTTGGAGATCAATGTATGACTTTTGTTTCTCTTTGCCTTCTCTATCTTCCACTATTGACTATCTAATTAATGGTTTCTTAATTCTTTATTTTCACCTCTGATAAAAAGATGGTTTAACGAAAGGTATTATTAGAAAATTTTCTTCTTTTTTTTTTAAGATTTTATTTATTCATGAGAGACAGAGAGACAGAGAGACAGAGAGAGAGAGAGAGAGAGAGAGAGAGAGGCAGAGACACAGGCAGAGGGAGAAGTAGGCTCCATGCAGGGAACCTGACATGGGACTCGATCCCGGGTCTCCAGGATCATGCCATGGGCTGAAGGCAGCACTAAACAGCTGAGCCACCCAGGCTGCCCTATATTAGAAAATTTCTTGGTAGTTTTTTATTAGTACCTTTTTTATAAAAAAGGAACTGGTGTTCTAGGGAAATAGATTCTCTAATAGTCAAAACAGGATTGATAAACTTATTTATTTGTGCAGTATCCATTCCTGTAGAACAGTTTTTTTAATTGCCAGATATTTGAGTATTATTGATTTGTAATTAGTAAATTGGTATCTTTGCTGTCTTCCCCTTATTTAAAAGGAAACAATAACTCAGGTGGCCCTGTCTCAACACCAGCTAACTCAGGAATGTTGGGGATTGGTGGAGGTGTTACTTTGCTACCAGCATTTGAATATAGAGGAACTTGGATTCCTATTCTGACTATAACAGTACAAGGCAGTGCAAAAGCCACCTAGTAAGTAGTAGTAGTTTATTTTGTAATAAATGATGTCATTGGGATTGTTTTATCTTAAAATCTTTCTCTCTGTATTATGCTTTGAATTTTAAGCCTAGTAATGCAATTTGAACTAATGCAATTTAGAACTAATTTTCTTTCGTCATATTTTGAGAATTTTACCAAGGATTGGATTTTGTTTGTTTTCTTTTGTACTATTTGTTGATGTGTTAGTGTTAATGGCATTGTGAAACAAGATGTGGTTTCTTTACCTGAGGACCTACCTATTCAGCTGCTCTATATGGCTTTTTGATTTAAATATATGACTTTGGACTTAGATCTAATACTGAGTTATCAGAAGCAAATTAGTTAACCTTTTGTAAAATCTCAGTTTCTTTACCTATAAAGAGAGAGTAATAATATATCTACCTTTCAAGATTTTATAGGTGAGAAGAGTTACTTTAACTGTGTAGCTAATTATGTTTTTAGAGTTTAACACACAGTACTTTTAGTTTAATTAACTTAAAGTATTTAATGGATTACATACGTGTTATTTTTTTTTAATATTTTATTTATTTATTCAAGAGAGACACAGAGAGAGACAGACATAAGCAGAGGGAGAAGCAGGCTCCATGCAGGGAGCCTGATGCGGGACTTGATCCCGGTACTCCAGGATCACGCCGTGGTCCGAAGGCAGGCACCAAACTGCTGAGCCACCCAGGGATCCCAACATACGTGTTATTTTTATTGTCATTAGCCATTTCAGCTTAACAAATACATATTTGACAGTGTATTGTTGATTTTTCCTGAGTCAGAGTGAACAACAGTGCTACAGAAATAAAGCAATTAACCCTATGTAGATTTAACACTACTGCACTTACTGTGAGGCAGGCAGTCAAGTATACATTTTGAGTGCTTGGCATGTGTAATTAAAACACTCTTCTAATGATTGTAAATCAAAACTCAAAGTGTGAAGCACAGGCTCTGACTGTTGTTTGTTTATTTAAATTTGAGTATAGTTGACACATCAGATAAGTTTCAGGTGTATTATACAACGTAATGATTTTACGAGTTTGTACATTATGTTGTGTTCATGACAAATGTAGCTGCCATCTATCCTGTTACATCACTGTTACAATATCATTGACCACACTTCTTATGCTATAACTTTTATTCCCATCACTTGCTCATTCCATAACTGGAGGCCAGTGTCTTCCACTCCCCTTTACCCATGTGCCCAATCTCTGCTCTCTGACTAGTTAAATGATAAATTTATATGATATGTTGGTCTGCATTGTATAATCATTGTATTTTGCCATGCAGCTTTATTCTGCCTAAAATTATAAAAGTATAGAATCATAGAGGACTGAAATGTTTAACTAAAATTCATTATATTCTTACTCATTTAAAAGATACTAAAGTTACCTAGTCTCATAGAAGCTTTTGCTTGCTACAAAGGCTAGTGACTCAAGTATACTAGAGGATCAAATTTAAAAGAAATCAGATTTCTAGCACTGATGGAGACGATAATCTCATTCATTTCCCCACCTCATTTTATAAATTGAAAAACCCAACACAAAACTTACATTTTAGAGAGTGAGATAGTAAAGTTTCAAATAAACATATAATATCACCTTGGGTAGTGGTTAGTTCTTTGAAGACAAAACAGATTAAGGGGTCGAGAGTGACCAAGGTAGAGATGGGGACAGAAATGATCTCTGAGGATGTAAGTTTGAGCAAATATATAACTAAAGGGAGATAGTGAAGATGTATGCTTGAGGAAGACAAATGACAAGGGAGTAAGTACTTGGCAAAGTTGTATGAATAACTTTTTAAACATTAAAATGGAAGCTTGAACCAATTGTTTATTGATAATTTATTCCTTATCAATTTAGAGAGTTGGATTTTAACTAGCTCTGCTACTAAATACTGTTATTTTGAATACAGCACATTATTTTCACTTGAATACAAAGTTAGGACTAAATCTCTAAAGGAACATAGATTTTTTTTTTTTTAGTGCTATAAACACTGAGATTACTCACCTCTGAAGTCAAAAATAGCTAAAAATATTGCTTTTCTTTGTACATGAATTAGTATGTTTCCACTGAAGCCTCCCTTTTGAATTGGCATCTTTCATTCGTTTGTTAAGAAATTCAGTATAAAGTTATTTTCACTTTTTTCTTTGAAGGCATACATATAAATCTCCATTGCGTATTCTGTTCTTTTATTGACTTTTTAAGTATATAATCATATGAAAACTTAAGTGATATACAGACGGAAGCAGTTTATACTAAGTAGTGTTGACATTCTTTCTAATTACACAATGGCTCCTTTCAAATTTGGGCTTGTGACAGTTTTGCACCTTTACCTTAAATTTATAAATACTTTAAAAAATGGGTTACATTTTATCTGAAACTGGAATTTATATATTAGTTCTAATAAAATAGCACTGAAATATTGAGATAAGACACTGTTGGCTTTGTTATAGGCTGTCGTATATAAATAAAAATAAGCATAAATCACCTTTTTCTCTGAACTATTCTAACACTTAAAGTCTTTACCATAGAACCTAGGGATTAGAGTCTTGGGTATTTAGGATTATTTTCTTTGTTTTAGATGCATTTTCTCAGTAGATCATTTGCTCTTTGAGAAGAGAAATTTGAAAAAAAGAAATGCTTAGCACTCAAAGACTTAATGTGTGGCTCTAAAAGGCTCGTTGGCTTGGCAATAATTAAACCCATAAACTTTACCTTCCTTTTTTTGAGCTTAGATCTCTTAATCAATAATATAAATATATTTTTATTGATTACCTAAATTTTAAAATCCTTAGAATTGGCATATACCAGGGGTTAAATTGATAGGCTTCAGAGTCAGACTTGGGTTAAGAAATGTTGATTGATAACTGTGTCACTTTAGTCCTTGTTTCATCATCTGTATCTTAGGAGTTTCATGAGGAGTTAAACAAGAAAGTATACATAAAAAAATCTCTTAGTGTCTCAGGCCAAGAGTAATTGCACAACAAATGATAGCTATTTATAGGTGTTGTTTATTCTGAGTTTTGCATTCCTTTATAAATTACCTACCTGCAATCTTGATTATGATTCAGAGACTGTTAGAACTTGAGGTTGGAAATCTTTTTTATTAACTTACTATAATCTTTAGTGATTTCAATTTTATTTTTGATATAACAATAAAGCAATAACACCTTTAATTCCGGGACTTCTTTATGATCCTTGATGATCTTTCTTTTTCTTTTTTCTTTCTTTCTTTCTTTTTTTTTTTTTTTTATTTATGATAGGCACACAGTGAGAGAGAGAGGCAGAGACATAGGCAGAGGGAGAAGCAGGCTCCATGCACTGGGATTCGATCCCGGGTCCCCAGGATCGCGCCCTGGGCCAAAGGCAGGCGCCAAACCGCTGCGCCACCCAGGGATCCCCTTGATGATCTTTCTTTATGAAAGAAACCGCATACTGCTTATCAGTCATTCCTGGCTCTCCCTTTCCCATTTTCCTGCCAGCCGCTAATCTACTTTGTTTCTACTGACTTACCTATTCTTGATATTTCTTATTAATGTAATCATGCAATAAATAATCTTTTGTTCAGACTTCTTTCACTCAGCATATTATTTTTTTAAAGATTTATTTATTTATTCAGAGAGGGGGGAGCAGGCTCCATGCAGGAAGCCTGACGTGGGACTCGATCCCGAGTCTCCAGGATCATACCCCGGGCTGCAGGTGGTGCTAAACCGCTGCGCCACTGGGGCTGCCCCACTCAGCATATTTTGAAAGTTCATCTTGTTTTGGGATGTATTAATACTTCATTTCTTTTTATGGCTAAATAATACTCCAATTTATGGATTATTTTATCTACCAGTTGGGTATTTGGATTGCTTCCACTTTTTGGCTTTTAGAGATAATGCTGCTATGAACATTTGTGTACGACTTTTTGCTTAGACATATGTTTTCATTTCTCATAGATATATACCTAGGAGTAGAATTGCTGAGTCATATATTACTCTATATTTAACTCTTTGAAGAACTTCCAAACTATTTTCCCAGCTGATTTTACCATTTTACATTCCCACCAATAGTGTATGGAGGTTCAAGTTTCTCCACATCATCAGCAATACTTATTATTGTTATAGTCTTTTGATTATAGCCATCCTAGTGGACATTAAATGTTGTACTTTATTTCAATTTGCATTTCTCTATATAATGATAACATTGAGTATCTCATTAGTATGCTGATTGGCCGTTTATATATCATCTTGGGAGAATTGTCCTTTCAGATCCTTTGCTCCCTTTTAATTGGGTTGTCTTTTATTATTTAGTTGTAAGTGTTCTTATATATTCTGGATCTTTAGTCCCTTACCAGATATATGATTTGTGAAAATTTCCTATTCTTTGGATTGCCTTTCATTTTCTTAATAGTGTCCTTTGAAGCACAATAGTTTTTAATATTGAATAATTCAGTTAATCCATTTTTTCTTTTGTTTCTAGTGCTTTTGGTATCATATCTACCAGATCATTACCTAATGGGAGGTTGTGAAGATTTTTGCCTGTGTTTTCCTGTAAGAGTTTTTAGGTTTAGCGCTTATGTTTAGGTCATTGGTTATTATTATTTTTTAAAGATTTTATTTTGAGAGAGAGCAAGCATGAGTGGGTAGAGGGGTAGAAGGAGAGGGAGAAGCTGACTCCCTGCTGATCAGGGAGCCCTATATGGGGCTTAATCTCAGGACCTTGAGATCATGAGCCAAGTGAAAGGTAGACATTTAACTGACTGAGCCACTTAGGTGCCCTGGTCATGGATTAATTTTGAGTTAATTTTTGTATATGATATGAGGTAGAGATCCACCATCATTCATTTACATGTGAATATCCAGTTGTTCCAGTACCACTAGTTTTTTTTTCCATTGAATTATCTTGATAGATTTCAATTTTAAGAAATTTAAAACCGTAACTCCATATTTGCCATGATTTAAGACAAAAGATATGTTACTTTCCTTTTGAAAGCATTGTTCTAACTATGGAGTAGAAACTGCTCTAAAATTTGACTTTGACATATTGATGCTCTGAGTATTATTTTTATCCTGTTGGCAGATTGTATCTGAGATAATAGATAAGCTACGTATCCCATAGTAATACATTCTCGGTGTGAAAATATCTTCCTGTTTATAGAATTGATTTGATTTTATAGTACCTTAATTTGAAAGCACCTGAGTCAGAGTTTGAGAAGTTTTATAATTCACTCAGTCATACTCTGTTTTATATGTAAGTCTTTATTTCTCTAATACCAGCAGTTAAAATACTGACATATTAAAAAAAATATTGAGATATTTAGCATAAGAGATGAAAAGGAAAGTATTAAAATAATTATGGCAGTGGTCAGGCCTTAATTTTTCTTATCAGTTTCTTAGAACACTGAGAAGGGATGCCTCCTCCAAGTGAAATAAATTCAATAATGTCCATTCACTTTTGGTACTTTGTCGCTCTTAACTTCTCTGAACTACAAATTATGGAAATACTTTTATATATTTTCATCATCATGGTTTTTAATTAGTGTTCTGATTTTTTTCATTATTTCAGCCTAGAGATGTTGGACAAAGTTGAGCCCCCAACTATACCGGAAGGTTATGCTATGTCTGTGGCATTCCATTGTTTGCTTGACCTTGTACGTGGAATCACCAGTATGATTGAAGGAGAGTTAGGAGAGGTTGAAACAGAATGTCATACAACCACTGAAGCAGCCTCTTCACTAACACAGTCTTCAGAACAGCAAGAATTACAGTCAACGTCAGACCAGATGGATAAGGAAATAGGTATATGCGATGTCTGTAATTTTAATTTTAATTCTGAAATAATTTGAAATTTATAGAAAAGCTGCAGAAATACTCAAGTTCACATGTATCCTTCACCTTGATTTCCCAGTTAATACTGCCATATTTGTGTTACCATTTTATTAAATACATCACTGCACTTTTTCCCTGAATATTCTCTACTATTAATATGCAAATATCAATATTACTCTCTAATATTAGAGAAGTTGTAGACATGATGCCCCACTACCTCTTAATACTTTAGTGTTTTCTTAAAAATAATAAGTTTCCTAACATAACTAGAGTACAATCCCATCATAAATTTAGCATCAACCCAGTATTATCTAATCCCAGACCTCATTCAAATTTTGCCAGTTGCCGCAATGATGTTTTTTATGTTCTGGGACCATACGTTGAGTTTACTTCCACATTGCTATACTATCCTTTAATCTAGAACACTTCCTTTTTTTTTTTTTTTTTTTTTTTTTTTTAGAACACTTCCTTATTATTATTATTTTTTTTTGTCTTATATGTCCTTGACATTTTTGAAGAGTACAGGTGAGTCAGTTTAGGTTTGTCTTTTGTTTCCTTATAATTAGATTCAATGTACTCATTTTTGCTAGTGCTATCATAGAAATATTGCTGTGAAAAAAAAAAAGAAATATTGATGCGTTATATATTTAGTGTATCAACACAGTAGGAGAATACAATATCAGTATGTATCATTATTGGTAATGTTAACTTTTATCATTTGGTTAATATGATGTCTGGCTGGTTTTTTCAATGTAAGATTAATTAGGAACTTTTGTGGAGAATATTTTGAGACCTCTATAAAAGAGAGCTTTCCCTTCTCCCCCATTTTATTTTTAATTTACTCATTTAAATTAGTATGGATTCTTGGATTTATTTTATTTGAAAGGTTACAATATGATTATCATTATTTGGTTTAACACTCAGATTGTTCCTGATATGGCCAGTGGGACCTCTTTCAAACTGGCCACTGTGTTCTTTTATCATTGTCTGAGCACTGCCTTACCATCTAACAAAATAAAATGTTCCTAGCTCATCTTTGATCTTTCTTGTCAAGCCCAGGAATCAGTCATTTTTCATAGGAGCTCTCGCTCCTTTTAGTTTAATACTTCAAAACTAACACATGGGCACTAGTGTGCTTCTTACTACTTGAAAAGGAAATACACTCATACACATGCACACATAAGCACTTACTCTCTACATTTTAAAAACATTTGTCTAAAAATGTTTTAAATGAGGTTTCTCCAGTTCTGGTTTAATACCATAAGGCTTATTTTAAACTTCCCATGTTTGCGTTACGTTCTTCAACAGTGAGAAACTTGGTCCCAGTTTATTCAGTGGATTTATTCATTTGCTTAATTCCCAGTGTATAGAAACCAGTTTTCTGGCTGAACAGCTTATTACACTACATTCCTAGCTTGTCACAGTGGCTGGAAGCCATTGAAGGGGAAGGGAAACGGAACTTGGATTACCCATACATAAATACATACACACACATACACATATACAGCTATCAGTTAGCTTGTGTACTGAAAGATCCTACAATGGATATTTTAAGGCAATTTAGTTTAAAGACTTTTTGAATTCTGAAACTTTGGTGTGGTTATTAAGTTTCATTTATTCAAATGTATTTTAAATTCTAATGCTTTAGTATTTAGTAATTGAGTTGCTGATGGAATATGTAATAAATGACTAGGGAGGTTTTAGAATGAGATGTTGTCAAATATTATGCTATCTATAATGATCATGAAATATTGCATGTTTTTGTCCTTTAAGTTAGTAGAGCTGTTTGGGAAGAAATGGTGAATGCCTGCTGGTGCGGTTTACTTGCTGCTCTCTCACTCCTCCTTGATGCCAGGTATTAAGTCTTTATAATTTTTATATTGCATGTGGCAGTTAATTAGAAACAAACATTAAAATAGTTACTTAAGTTGGTCCTAAAATTATTTCTTAATGTTAGTTAAACATTATTCTTTTTTTTTTTTTGCCACCTCCCCCTCTTTCATCCTATTCTTGCCCTGCTCCCCACAAGAATAGTTGTCACGATGTTTTAATGGAAAATACAATCCTAAAATTACAGAATGCCTTTTTCACTTCACCCTTACTACTACTTTTACAGTGATGGTAACTATCAATCTCTTTGATTTTTTTTTCCATAATGACAGAATTTAATGATTCTGAAATGCTTAATATTTTAAGTTAAATCTTTGAGTGCATGACCATTTTCTTCTATGACGAATATATGTATTACATATTGCTTTTACTCAGTTCAAATTTTCAGGTATTATATTGATTAAAGTTCTTTCTTAAGTATATTGATTTCAGTAATATTTTTGTATAGATTTTCTTATAGCTTCACTGAATACTTAATTCCCTGTCATGTTTGCAGTATAATTAAATACAAATTAATCATATTAAATAAAATACTTTATCTTTTCAGCACAGATGAAGCTGCCACTGAGAATATTTTAAAAGCTGAACTGACTATGGCTGCTCTTTGTGGAAGACTGGGCCTTGTAACCTCAAGAGACGCCTTTATAACTGCAATATGCAAAGGTTCCCTGCCTCCCCATTATGCTCTTACTGTACTGAATACCACCACAGCAGCTACACTGTCCAACAAATGTAAGACTTTAACTTTTTTATTCATCTAGTGGAGAGATATGGTACGGAGAAAAGATTATACAAATTCTGAGTTCAAGCCCCTGCTGGTTCACTTATTGACTCTGTGACCTCTGTTAGAAGTTAATGACCCAGAGCTTCAATTATTTACATGTCTTTAAAACAATGGGGGTACAGGGAGAATAATTATTTTATTTTATTTATTTATTTTTAATATATATTTTTAAAGATTTTATTTATTTATTCATGATAGACACACATAGAGAAAAGCAGAGACACAGGCAGAAGGAGAAGCGGTCTCCACGCAAGGAGCCCAATGCGGGACTCGAACCAGGAATCCGGGATCACGCCCTGACCCAAAGGCAGGCGCTCAAGCACTGAGCCACTCAGGTGTCCCAAGAATAATAACTTTAAACAATAATTCTGAGGATAGAAGAAAATAAATCTGAAAGTCTTTTTTAAACTATATCATACTGTTTTATTTTTTTTTAATGGAACTAGTAGAACCATAATGCAGGCAACCACTTAGATTAACATTCAGTTTTTTTTTCTTGTTGAATACTTTAGAAACACTCAAGCTTGTCACATGTAATGTGTTTCAAAATGATATTTAGTTTTCAAACCGAAAACATGAGAATTGGCCTCTAACTTTAACTAGAAAAGTTCACTGGGAATACATGTTAATAAAATAATGTGTTCTGATTCTATTTTGCTTGTGAAGAAGTCTCTCAAAGTCTTTAATTTAAAAAAGTTTTGTAGGAAATTACTTTAGTGGGATGCCTGGTTGACTCAGTGAGTTATGGTCTACCTTCAGTTCAGGTCATGATCCCAGAGTCCTGGGATCGAGCCCTGCATTGGGCTCCCTGCTCATTAGGGAGCCTGTTTCTCCCTCTCCCTCTGCCTGCTGCTTCCCCTGCTTGTGTTCTCTCTCTGTGTCAGATAAACAAATTTTTTTTAAAAAGTAGTTAAAAATAGAGAATTACTTCAAATTTGTTTGTCTTGGCTTTTATACCTCCTGAGTTTTAAAAATGTTTGCATATAATTGATAACTAAATAAGTGTCATAGTTGAACTTAGCTTAATCAAATTAATGTTTTTAAAAATAATATTACTGGGGTGCCTGAGTGGCTCAGACAGTTAATGTCTTACCTTCAGCTCAGGTCCTAATATCTGGGTCCTGGAATCAAGTCCGGCATCAGTTTCCTGCTCAGTGGGGAGTCTACTTCTCTATCCCTCTCCCTCTCCCTCTGCCTCTCCTTCCTTCTCATGCATACTCTCTCTCTCTTTCTCAAATGAATAAAAAACAAAACAAATAAAATATGACATTAGTTTAAATGCAGTGTGAGGAGTATATCTTAATTATTTAAGCTTTCCTTTGTTTTCTAGCATATTCCATCCAGGGTCAAAGTGTTATGATGATAAGTCCATCAAGTGAATCTCACCAGCAAGTTGTGGCAGTGGGTCAGCCTCTGGCAGTTCAGCCTCAAGGGACAGTAATGGTAAAGCATTTTTCTTAACTTGGTTGCCAGCTAATTATCCAGCACATTTTTTGCACTTTTCTTTTTGTGTTTGCCAAATTTTATCATTATCATTATTTACTTTCGTTTACCTGGATGATTGATACCTTTAGAAGACATTAGTGATTGACATTATCATGAGCAATTATGATAACACAACTTTTTTTTCCCCCTAAAGAGTAATATATTTCAATCATCTTTTTAATAGTAACTATCACAGAAGATTATCTCCAGCCAAGCAAGGGTCATGGCTATAATATATATCTTACAGATATATTCTGAAAAAATATAACTAGAATAAAAATAGTTTACATGGTTTCCTTTTGATATAGAACAACTTTGATTTCTACAAAATGTTAATTCGAAGGAATCAGAATAAAAGGAAAGTATAAACTGTGATCTGCCATTTCTTCTTATGGTACTCTTAAAACATATTATTTTCCAGTATATTACCAGTAGTAAGGACCAAATGAAAAGAAATATATTCTCCATGATGATGATAATAATAATGATGATAATAATGATGATGATGGTGGCAGCTAATATTTATTGAGTTTTGTCTTACCTGATTTATTGCCCTTAGCTCTTTACATTCTAAAGTAATGAAATGATAGGTAGAGAGGTTAATTTGTTATGATAGTTCTATGACATGAACTCAGCCAATGTGGACTCCAGGCCAATGTCAAACTGTCCTTTATACAGTTAAGAGTTATACTCTTGCTATATGTTCACAGGTTAATTTTCAAAATCATAATGTAAACTAATATGATATGATGCCTGTTTATATATATACTTCTTTAAGGGCCTTTGTCTTAAAGTAGAATCTGTAAGCTTTTATTTGTTAAAACTCCTTACTTAACCTTCCCCATCTGGAATCTCTTAAATGAGACATTCTAATATATATATGATAGCACAACTTTTAAGCAAATTAATTTGTTCTATACCAAACCATCCAAACCCATTTTTAAAATATTTTTGTTTTTTTTATTTAAAAAAATATTCGAATATGATAATGCTGCTTTACAAGAATGCAAAAACAGTTCTTACAAATATATCTTTTTTAAAATATACATAGCTCACTTCCAAAAATATCCAGTGTATGAGGACTTTACTTAACTTGGCACACTGCCATGGAGCTGTTCTTGGAACATCATGGCAACTTGTCTTGGCAACTCTACAGGTATGTTGTAGGCTCTGGGTCAGAGGTCAGTATTGTTTTTATAGCTAAGTGCTAACAGAGTAAGCAGTGCCTATTGGTGCGTTGGGCAGGCCTTAAAGAATAGACAGAAAGTTTGAAGAGGGAAAAGTTAGAAAGGAAAAAAGACATGGCTTGTATTATACAAAATGATGGAATGCTTCTCTTAATGGCCTAAGTTCTATATCCTGTGCTTGGTATAAGAAGTATTTTATATGAATAGTAATTGCTAATTTAAATTTAGTTATTGGAAACCTTCTGATTTTAATTTTAGTTATTAGATTAGAAGTTACTACTGATTTTTAGTTTTAGATATTAGAATTTTTATAATTTTTAAAATTTCTTTGTTTTTTTCCTTTAATTTAACAGCATCTTGTGTGGATTCTGGGATTAAAGCCTAGTAGTGGTGGTGCTTTGAAACCTGGGAGAGCTGTAGAAGGACCCAGTACAGTAAGCTCTAGTTAGTCTTACTCAATTTGTGCTTCCTGAAATGTTCATACATTTACATTTAATTGTATTCTTCTCTTAGGTTCTAACAACAGCAGTGATGACAGATTTACCAGTGATTTCCAATATACTTTCAAGATTGTTTGAAAGCTCACAGTAAGAATCAGTTTTTAAAATTGATAGATCTATTATTAGTGTGTATTTTAGATCAGAATGTTTTATTTCTTCATTTTCATTATAGGTATCTTGATGACGTATCATTGCATCATTTAATAAATGCACTTTGCTCCTTATCCCTAGAAGCAATGGATATGGCCTATGGAAATAATAAGGTGTGATATTCTGTTTTTCTGTTTTAAATATGGTACATTATTGAATTAAATAAGGTGATCTTATGATCTTAGTATTTTGGTAGTGGGACTAATACTTAACTTGCAGGCTACCTCAACTCTGTAGAGCTTTTAGCATTTATGGTTATTTGTTGAAGGAGGAGGAAAGAGGACATAATGTGGTTTGTGATATGTTTTATATTTATTATAATTTTAAACTATGTCCATTTCTCTTGGATACTGAAATTTTAAGAAACATTTTAATAAAGAATAAAGGCAATACCACGTTTATAAATGAGTTCCATAAGATGTCACAATAATATTTGTAATTACAATTTATGATTAGGGCAATACAAGATTTAAATCAAGCAATATATATATGTCTCAGTTTTTCTTGCCTTCGTTGGGATGGAAAATAAGGAGCTAATCATTTCTTTCTAAAGGTAATGATTCCCCCTACCTTGAAAATTAAATTTTTGCTTTGTTCATTGACTGAATGAATAGAAATTTTGAATATTGACATTCAAGAACATCTCTTTCTGTACTCAAAATATCATTTTGTATTATACTTGGAAAGCACAGGAATATATGGATTGATTTATACTTTAGAAATTACTTAAAATAAAATGCTTTTTCTGTTTAAAATAAGTATAGTGTAACCATTTACAAGTAAGTGAAGAAGATACCCAGCACATGATTAAAAAGCAGAGAATTTCTAACTTGTTTAGCATGTACTTGTAAGTCCAAAATTATATTGCTCGCCTAGTCCTAAATTATAATTCTTTGTACTGTGGTTTGTTATCTGTAAGACTGATTTAAAGAGTAACTGATAAGGTCAGTTTTGTATATTATAGCACATAGCTAGAGAATTACATAAACATTCAGGTGTTTGAAAATACGTACTATTAGTTTACTCCAAATTAAGGTGAGAGTAATGCAAAATATAGGCAAGAGTAATACAAAATATAGTGTACAGCAAGAGTAATAGAAAATATAGTGAAGTAATCAATTTCTTGATATCTTTAATAATCCTACATCTTTAAGATGAACTCTTAACACACAAATATATTTTTAATAGAGTACCTTAATAGAGTCTGAGCAAGTTTCTGTGGTAATATCTTGAGAATTTATGTATTATTAACTCAGTAACCACAGTGTGTTTACTATGTACATGATACTCTGCTAGGAAATATAAAGAAAATAGACAATTTTTACTTGCTAACAGCATGTAAACTACTTGGCTCATAGTTAAGTAGTAAAGTAGTATGAGTTTAGATAAAATCATAGTTACTAAGTGATATGAAATTTATTTTCTGAATCCTTTATGTCCTGTTATGGAAGATACTTTTAGTGTATATTTCTACGAGAAGAATTAAGATTAATCAAGATAAATTAGTTTGTGATTGGACTTGGATATTGAAGGAAAGGTGTGTGTTAGAAAAGGGCAGGTTTGTGGAAATCAAAAGAGAAAAATGTTACAAGAAGTCAAGAATAATGAAAATTGAGAAGAAATAGGAAATTTGATTATTACTAGTTTATAGTTAACCTGAAAGAATTCAATTTCAAGAGAGTGGTAGGAGCAGATGTGATATTTCAAGGAGGCTTAGAGGGAACAAATGTTGAGAGAATATGAATGCATTGGATAGAGAATTATGTTCCTGAGAATAGATTTTCATTGCTCTCTTAAAGAGTTTAATTTTGTAAAGTGAAGTCGTAAATGTGGAAGGGAAATAAAAGTTTATAAAGGGATCCCTGGGTGGTGCAGCGGTTTGGCGCCTGCCTTTGGCCCAGGGCACAATCCTGGAGACCCGGGATCGAATCCCACATCGGGCTCCCGGTGCATGGAGCCTGCTTCTCCCTCTGCCTGTTTCTCTGCCTCTCTCTGTCTCTCTCTGTGACTATCATAAATAAATAAATTTAAAAAAAAAAGTTTATAAAGATATTTAAGTATAAAACGTTTTTAGGGCAGCCCGGGTGGCTCAGCGGTTTAGCACCGCCTTTGGCCCAGGGCATGATCCTAAAGACCTGGGATCGAGTCCTATGTTGGGCTCCCTGCATGGAGCCTGCTTCTCCCTCTGCCTGTGTCTCTACCCCCCTTTCTCTCTGTTTCTTATGAATAAATAAATAAAATCTTTAAAAAAAAAGTTTTTAAATGGAAGCATAAAACAGTTTATTATTCAGTTGTACCTTCTCTATGTAGAAATTATAACAAAATATGCAGGTGTTAAAATAAGTAGAAACTTGTATAATTTTCTTCATTGTTAAAAAATACTTATTAGTGTCAGCTCTTCTGAGTGAGTTAAATAGTCTAAGGATTAAAGATATAAATATCAATGTTCTTTATTGTGGCTTTACAGTGACCAGTCATCTCATTATTTGGTCCTCTTTTCAGGAATTTGTGCTAATGTGTTGAGGAAGTAGCTTATGGTAAAGTTTGCAAATTCTTCCCTACTAGAAGGTGGGAGTTGATGATGCTTGTGGAGACATTACCAAGCTCAGTATACAATGGCAAAAATAAAAAAGCAGGTGTTCATAGTTTACTATATGGCAGGCACTTACATTTTTTTATTTAATCATTTAAAACTGGTGAGATTTGGTGGTAATATCCTCTTTTTTACAGGTGAAAAATAAAAATAACCAATCTGCCTGGGATCACCTATTTAGTAAATGTTAGAGCTTGGATTTGAACCTGCATGTGCCTCATTCTAGAGCTTTACTCTTAACCTTGTCACTAATGGCTCTAACTTTTGTGTGCAACAATGTCTGCTGTAGCACTTTTAAAAGATAAAATGCCAAAACTTCATTCTAGGCTTCCTGAATAAGATTCTTTGATTATGAAGCATGGACATCTGTACATTTTTTTTAAAATGCCACATGATTCCTGTGTACATCCTAGTTACAATAAGCAGAAGGAGGAGGAGGAAGCAATATGAGGCAGCATTTATGGGGACTTAGTATGTGCCAGATGCTTTTAATGTGGTTGTTTCTGTATATTATATCTTCATTTTATAGATTAAAAAAACAATGGAAACACAGTAATTTAATCAAGGTTACATACCTATTAAGTGGTAGAGTTGAAATAAAACTTCACAGGTATCAGTTTTAACCACTTATGCTGTTTCTACAATGATACACGATTATACCACACAGATTTTTAAGGTGCCCACAACATTAGCACATGCAGGAAGGATCATCCTGACCATATTTGTCTCCAAACAATACTAGTTCCCTTTCTAGTTGGTGAAATGCCAGCAACCAAGGAGAGGGGTTTGTCTTCTATATCTGCTACTTTTGTGTTAGTGTCTAAACTGATAACTCTGATATCTGCCATATTCCTGACTTCACCCTGACTTTCCCCTGGTCTCTGCTGTCTTCTTTTTGCTTTTTCCCTGCTTCCTGATATTCACACATAAAACCTGGACATTTGAAGAATACTCTGATAAGAATATATATTAGTCTACCTGGACTGCTTTAACAAATTATCACAGACGTGGTGGTTTAAACTACAGAAATGTATTTTCTACAATTCCAGAGACTGCAAGTCTAAGATCTAGATGCTGGCATAAGGTTCTAGTGATGGCTTTTCCTGGCTTGAAAGATAGATGCCTTCTCACTATGTCCTCATATGTGGTAGAGGAGAAGTGCTCAGGAGCATGCTAGCAAGTGCTCTGGTGTCTCTTCTTTTAAGACATTAATCCTGCCTTACCAGTTTCACCCTTATGACCTCTTTTAACCATAATTACCCCATAAAGATTTTATCTCCAGTTACCATCAACTTGGTGGTTAGGATTTCAACATAGGAGTTTTAGGGGGACAGTTTAGTCTGTGGTGGAATGCATCTTTCCTTCTGGTCAGAAGACAGGCCATTCTGTGTATCTGGAATAAGCATTGAATTTTTCATTTCTTTGTCATGAAGGTATTCTCTTCCTAACCAAATTTTCCAATTAGGAGCTATTCTGGATGCTTGAGGGTGGGCAGAAGGCTTGTCTCAGGATAACTGAGGTTCTAATTATCGCTAACTCTATACTAATTATGTATTATAATCATGCGTTTCAGAGTATTGTCAGTTTTATGTACAATTGAAGTACTAAAAATTCAAATACAATATGATATATAATATAATATCAAAATACAATATGTTTTTTCTTTAGGAGCCATCTCTTTTTGCTGTTGCCAAATTGTTAGAAACGGGTCTAGTTAACATGCATCGAATAGAAATTCTTTGGAGACCTCTAACTGGCCATCTACTCGAGGTAACTGCTTTTTCTTAGATATTGTACTTTTGTTAAGAATAAAGAGACACACATTGAATTAATGATTCTGGATAACCATATGAAAAATCAATAGTAACTTATTTTCCTTGTACTTATATCTATATAATTTATCAAGGACTAAAGTTTTATAATAACTGCTTTGGGGATCCCTGGGTGGCTCAGTGGTTTAGCACCTGCCTTCAGCCCAGGGCGTGATCTTGGAGACCTGGGATCGAGTCCCACATCAGGCTCCCTGCATGGAGCCTGCTTTTCCCTCTGCCTGTGTCTCTGCCTTTCTCTCTCTGTCTCTCATGAATAAATAAATAAATAAAATCTTAAAAAAAAAAACTGCTTTGGTGAGGAAATAGGTTGGTTTTTTTGGCTGAAAAAAATGGGTGATATATCAGTGAAATCTCTGAAGACTCCTTCAGCTGTTAGCTTGGGACTTCTTTCTTTTGTTATACAGTTTCTTGATCCACCTCAGTTTTAACTAGTTCTGAAACTTAAAGGCAGTTGGGGCTGAGAGTTAGTAGTAAACACCGCTGCTTTTTTTTTTTTTTAAAGATTGTGTTTATTTATTCATGAGAGACAGAGGGGGTGGGGCAGAGACAAAGGCAGAGAGAGAAGCAGGCTCGCTGCAAGGATCCCACTATGGGACTCAATCCGGGATCCCACCCCAAGCCAAAGGCAGACGCTCAACCACTGAGCCACCCGGGGGTTCTGTAAACACTTCTTTACAACCTTTTCTGTGATTCTGAGATAGCTCTTCTGCAGAGGGAAAAGCCTCTTTGGTAGCCCTAATTGTAGATAGTACCAGAGAATTTCATCTGAATTTGTATACTCTTGTGTCCAAGTTGGAATGATTGGTAATAATTAGCTACATCTCAGTAACAGCTGCTTCTGTCAGTATATATGTTTATGTTGCTTTAGGCTTAGGTTACCAGGATCATTTTGTATTACTTTAGTAAGCTGGGAAAGGTATTCTTAATAAAAAAAAAAAAAATGTGCTTGTCCTTTTATTTTTTTCCATTTTATTGAAATTGCTTTTATGAATTATTAAAGGATATATGCAGATTTCTTTATCATGGACTTTCTCATCAAATGGCACAAAAAAGTTAAGATTTTAGCACAGAATTTGATTGTGAGGGTGTGCCTAATTAGGAACCTTAGTGTTAGCTTGCTTCTTTTGTTTACTCTGATGACATAATTTACTTTTATGAAGTCCTTTTTTTTCTATGACTTGCTTAGTTTCATCTTTTATCTTCTCTCTGTTGCTTCCTATGCCTCTTATACAGAAGGTAAGCTTACTTACATTCTAGATATAATTTTTCATTCAGCCATTATTGATGAACAGTTGATACAATTTTTTAAATGGAAAAAAACCGAAAATAATGTTTTAATTTTTTTCTCAAATTGATGTGTGAGCTTAAGTATACAAATTGAATATTTAATTTTTATTCAATGTTTTGTCTCCAGGTCTGTCAGCATCCAAACTCTCGAATGAGAGAATGGGGAGCAGAAGCTTTAACTTCACTTATTAAAGCAGGATTAACGTTTAACCATGATCCTCCACTTTCACAAAACCAGGTAAAAAAATTTTTTTAAATTCTTTTCTTTTTTTAAATTTTTATTTATTTATGATAGTCACAGAGAGAGAGAGAGAGAAAGAGAGAGGCAGAGACACAGGCAGAGGGAGAAGCAGGCTCCATGCACCGGGAGCTCGACGTGGGATTCGATCCCGGGTCTCCAGGATCGCGCCCTGGGCCAAAGGCAGGCGCCAAACGGCTGCGCCACCCAGGGATCCCCTTAAATTCTTAATATAAAATCATCCTCTCCTATATGTAAGTAATACTTTCTTAATTTATCAAATGGATGATATTCTGAGAATGGGTTTTGTTGCTTAATATTTATTTTATATGTAGGCCATGGATATCTTACAGAAGGTTGACATGTCTGCATTTTTAGGATTATCTATCTTTATTAAAAATTATGGCAACTTTCTTGTGAATAACATGGAATTAAAGCTACTAAATTACCTAGAACTGGTCTCCGCATGTGGAAATTTCCCTGTTCAAGCATTGCTTGAGGCCCACTTTATTAGCCTCCCTGCTTTGGTCCTTAACTGTCTCTAATTTTTTCTCTAAGTATCCTTACTTGGAGAGAAAACAAGTGGTGAAAGAGACAAGTACATTAAAATAGATCTTTATTTTTAAAACTTTTAAAAGTTATTTTATACTTCTAGAGTTTGAGTCCTTTGTCCTGACTCCTGTAGTCATTCACATATATCTTATACAATTTGTTAAAAATCCACCAAAGTTCTATTGTTTGAAGTTGAGTAAGAATGAGGCAATTAATAGGCATTTCTATTGCCTTCATTACTTATTGATTGTAATTGTATTCTACAAATTTACTCAATAAATTATTGAGTACATACAGGGTACCAACCAATGTCTTAGCTGTTGGCATAGAAGATAAATAAGACAAAAAAAGATCTGTGTTCTTATAGAACTTACATTTTAGTGATTTCATACTTTTTTCCTATTACAGTTTAAGTTTTTTGAAAAGAAAACCCTGATCTATATCCTTAATATTCAGCTTAATACCTGACCCATAGAGCTTAAATGTTTTTTTCAGACAGTGAACCAAATAAATGAGTCCTTGAAGAGAAAAGAAGTTAAAAATGAAGCAAGTGTTTTCATGTGCTAAAAGGGCCTGAACAGAGTGCCTTTTTTTTTTTTTTAAACTACAATGGGTCCAGTAGTTTTATGCCATCTTTGTTAATGTCTACCATACTTAATTCTTAGGAATATTAAGAATTTTAAATTTAAATACATGTGATATGCTGTTATTAACAGAGTAAATGAAAGATAATTTTAGAAATTGGGGATTGTTGGGCAGCCTGGGTGGCTCAGCAGTTTAAGTGCTGCCTCCAGCCCAGGGTGTGATCCTGGAGACCCGGGATCCAGTCCCACGTTGGGCTCCTTGCATGGAGCCTGCTTCTCCCTCTGCCTGTGTCTCTGCCCCTTTCTTTCTCTCTCTGTGTCTCTCATGAATAAATAAATAAAATCTTAAAAAAAAAAAGTTTAAAAAAAATTGGGGATTGTTTTCATCTCTCCAAATATAGCTAGATATAAGTAGAAATATTTTCTTTAGTGAGATTCGTTTGTATATGGGTCTTTAATTAGTGTTTTTTAAAAAAGTTCTTAATTCATTTACTACTTTTTGTTTGGGGTCTTTAGTGTCTTTTAATGCAGAGTCACTCTCCATTTAATCTGAAGTCTAACATTGTCTAAGGACATAAGTCATAGTCCTTATGACTCATAGTCTAAGATTGTTTTTTATTTTCTCTTATTTAAGAAAAAGACATGACAAAAGAAACTTCTAGTGATTATGGTTAGAGAATCATATTCAGTGTTTGTTTTAGTAGAAAAAGATTCTAATTACTATTATAGTCTTTGAGCCACTCTTCCTAATTAGTTTCTTCTCCTGTTTTCAGAGGCTGCAGTTGCTTTTATTGAACCCATTAAAGGAGATGTCCAGTATTAACCATCCAGATATCCGACTCAAGCAATTAGAATGTGTGTTGCAGATTCTTCAGAGTCAGGGAGATAGTCTTGGGCCTGGATGGCCATTAGTGCTTGGAGTCATGGGAGCAATCAGAAATGATCAAGGGTAAGTGTTTGAAACTAATATCCAAAAACTAATAGTGATTAAGAAGAAATTCATCCTAAAATTTTGCAGAAGTGGTAGTTTTTTATGTGCCTTTCCTAAGATCTAAAATCATTTTTCTTAATCCTACCTCCAGTGACTATAGTGAATTAATCAGGGCTCACCTTTGTTTTGGAAGGTTGGAAAAATTGCTGTTTACTTGACATTTGACAGTTATTCAAGAATACAAGTTTCATAAGATAAATGCACCAAGCTAACAAATTTTTAACACATCCAAAGATTGGGTTTTGTATTATTAAATATTGGTAAAGACATGAATTAACACTTAGGGCTTGACTTCTCTGCATATTTTGGGAAATCTAAGAAATTGCTTTAAGGGACTTCAAAAAATTTATTGCTCATTTATTCTGTGCCTAATATAGTCTAATTACTATGCTTGCTAGTTACCGTGATTACAAAGATAAATAGTTCTTGCTCTAAAAGTAGAATCTTAGGGAAAAGGAACAAGCTCTGTAAGTAGAATCCTAATGAGAATAGTCTGTTATGGCTCAGAAGAATAGAATTCCAATGGAAGGGAGGCCTGAATTCCTGGAGGGGGGCAGAGCCAAAATTATGAAGGACCTTATATGCTTTTATAAACTATTTGGATTTATCTTCAGTACATTTGAGAGACATTTTAGGAGTTGTAAGCAGAGTAACAGTGTGATCTGATATTGTGATAGCACCATGGAGGGGTGGATGGTAAATGAGAGAACCTGCAGTGTTCTCTAGAAATAGAGAAGAGTGATGGACTTGAGCTTCTTAGCAGATTGATTATAGGGGTGAAGGATGATATAAGAAATAGAATAAGGAATGCCTTCCAGATTTCTAACTTAGGCAGTCTAATGAATGGTGGTATTATTAACTAAGTAGTAAATACTGAAGAAAGCAAAATGGACTTACATAGTTTAAGGTAGAGCATTGCAGTGGAGAGGTCTATCAAATGTTTGCATATATTTGTCTCATTCTATAGCAGAATTCATACTATCTTGTGTGATGACTAGTCGAGTTTTATATGATTGAGATGCTTGGGACTATTATGAAAAATTAATTTTTCTTATTTATTTGTAATAATAAATTTTCTAAAAAACTACAAAATACTGAGATGATGAAAGTGAAAAGAGATCAGTCACAGCTTAAATCAAGCTAAGTTTCTTCTCCCAGTCTACAGTGTAGTTATAAACTAGGGCATCATGGTAGGATGAAATTAATTAGTACACATAAAACACTTAGGAAGTGCATGACGTAGCAAACCCTCAATAAGTGTTAGTTATTGGGGCACCTGAGTGGCTTGATTGGTTGGGAATCTGACTCTTGATTTCCTCCTGAGTTTTTGTCTCAGGGTCGTGAGATTGAGCCTCATACCAGCATGGAGTCTGCTTGTCCTTCTCCCTCCCCTCACTTGCATGCTCTCTCTTTCTCTCTCTCTCAAATAACTAAATAAAATATTTAAGAAAAAAATAAGCATTAGTTATTATAATTCTTTTTTTAAAAGATTTGTTTATTCTCTCTCAAATAACTAAAATGTTTAAGAGAAAAATAAGCATTAGTTATAATTCTTTTTTTTTTTTTTAAAGATTTGTTTATTCATGATAGACATAGAGAAGCAGAGACACAGGCAGAGGGAGAAGCAGGCTCCATGCCGGGAGCCTGACGTGGGACTCGATCTCAGTACTCCAGGATTGTGCCCTGGGCCAAAGGCAGGCGCCAAACCGCTGAGCCACCCAGGGTTCCCCAATTCATTTTTATTATTATTTTTCACCACTAGAATTTCTCTCTCAAATCAATTCCTTCTTATTCCTTTTATTTGAAATTCAAAATGTACTCTTTTCTTTTACAGAATAGATGTAGAATTTTAAGTAAGATATAGATATAAAAGAATGAGGAACTCATTTTCATTCAGTGGGTAAATTGGGTGTATTTGCATGTGCTAGGCACCATGCTAGATATTGGGGATACACTGGTGAAAGTAGCTGTAGCCAATTTCCTTTACTCATTAATGTCGAAGTTTTATTTGGTTAGTTGGTTCAAAGTTCTTTATTTTTATTTGTTAATTTTGTTCAAGTATGTGTTTCTCCTTTTCATTTATGTAAATGTTGAAATACATTTCATCTATATTAGGGGAGATTTTCTTGTTCAACTTTTAAAATAGAATTTAATTTGCTTCAAATTATTATAGGATGTTATTTTTACTTAAATTTCTTTTAAATGCATGAGTATAATTTTTTTCCTTTTTTTTTTTTTTTCAGAGAATCCTTGATACGAACTGCGTTCCAGTGTCTTCAGTTGGTCGTGACAGATTTTCTACCAACAATGCCTTGTACATGCCTGCAGATTGTTGTAGATGTTGCAGGTAGCTTTGGACTTCATAACCAAGAACTTAATATTAGCTTAACTTCAATAGGTTTATTGGTAAGTATTATTGCTTTTCTTGTGATCATATAATTTAGAAATCACTGTTATGCTGCTGAGAGTGAATGCTAAGAGACTAGGCTTATGGCTTTAGAAGGGTTGTTTAAATGACTTTTAAGTACTAAGCTTATATTTTGCATGGAAGATTAAGTGACATAAGTTAAGAATTAATTCATTAATAGCAGAATATTTGGAATAATTTTGATACATTAAGCTGAAATTTCACTCTAAAAAATTTGTCATGAGAGGATTGGTAAACAAGTAATAGTATATATAAGGGAAGTATTCAGTTGACTTTAGTGTAAAGATTAAGTGATTTTTTTAGTATTGTTTTAGTAACAACATTTTCATGTATTACTTATTTAGTATAAATAAAGCTCCAGTAAAAGGCTTTACTATATACACAGGGCTTTGCTGTATACACAGTCCTGTAGTTTGTCAGCACTGCTTTGTTAGCTATTGGAAGGCAAATGTTAATGGAAGAACTTTGACCTGTGGAAACAGTATTTTAATTCCGTGTGCCTCTTGTTGATTGTTTTACTATTGAGCCTTGTTTTATTCATCTTGAAGGTAGAAGGAAATCTAAGATAGGATATTATTGATATTATGTAAGTAAACAAATAGCTGTTCCCAATATAAATGTATTTAAAGACAATTATTTAGACTCTTTTAAATGTTTATTATAAGCCAGGAGGTTTTAAAGTCAAACTTAAATAGTCCTTACAAGCCAGATATAAGTGACTATTAAAAATGTAATTATAGGAAGGAAAATAAGCATATGTATAGAATTGCTCCCAAAGAGTAGTTAATTCAGTATTGATTAAATTACTGCTAGGTGTCACCTTCTTTATATTTATGTTCATAAGATTCTCTACATTCTTATCATTGGTATAATTCTTACTAATTCATACACCACATATTGTGGTTGAGAATGAAGTCATAAGATATGTTTGGATATAGTAGTTATTATATGAAATTGCCTAATATCATTAAACAATATTAAGGAATTGTTAATAATTTTTTTGGTGTCATAATGGTATCATGGTTATTTTTTTAAAGGCTTTATCTAGTGGAAATTATAAAAATAGTCATGAAGTAAATATGAGAGAATATTAACAATTGTTTATGTGTATATCAATATACTGATACATTTCCCCTGTTTTTCTATGTCTTTGAAATGTTTCATAAAGAAACATTTAAAAATATTAATGTTAGCATGAGATTATTTCCTCAAATTTTCCTGAAATCAGGTGGAGACAAATGACAGATGTTTTCAAATCTTTTCTATTAGAAAAGGAGTTTCTGAAGTGGCTTTTAAAAGTTTTATTCTGAAAGGTAAAGCAACCATGTGTTGCGCATTTACTTATGTGTTTAAAATCTGTGAGTGAAATGGCATTTTTCTACTTTGCTTTTTAGTGGAATATTTCAGATTATTTTTTCCAAAGAGGGGAAACTATTGAAAAAGAATTAGATAAAGAAGAAGCAGCACAGCAAAAGCAGGCAGAAGAGAAAGGAGTGGTTTTAAATCGGCCTTTCCATCCTGCTCCACCGTTTGATTGCTTGTGGTTGTGTCTTTATGCAAAATTGGGTGAACTCTGTGTGGACCCTCGTCCTGCAGTGAGGAAGAGTGCTGGACAAACTCTGTTTTCAACAATTGGTGCACATGGAACTTTATTACAGCATTCAACATGGCACACTGTTATTTGGAAGGTATTAACCATTAGCTTGAGCAACTAGCTTTTGAGACAGATTTTCAAATTTTTCAATCTTGTTCCTATTAATTTTTGAAAAAGAATTTCCATGCACTTGTGCTTTTGACAAAACAAAATGTTTGTTTTGCCATACTTTAAAATTGTACCTCACGCAGAGTAAATTACATATCAAATGCCTATTATCTTTCTTTATCTCTTATCTGTGTTTCTATTTTTGCCTCTGCCTTTCCCTTTTTTTTTCCTGTTTTCCCAAGTGGTAAAACCATACATATAATTCAAATGTTACCAACTGAGAATTTTATAAATGAAAGAATATCAACAGTAGTGAAATTTACTTGCAGGATCACTGAACAGAAGTAACATCAAATTGGTAAATTCTGTGTTTGTTCATTAACTGTTTCATTTTTTTCCCCTTTTTCTTAAAAGATATTTTATTTGTAAGTAATCTCTGTACCAATATAGGGCTCGAACTCACAATCCTGAGACCAAAAGTCATGGGCTCTACTGACTGAGCCAGCCAGGTGCACCTTTTTTCTCCTCATCCTTCTTTCAAAAACTTTCTTCAGTTGGACATCTGACTCTTGATTTCAGCTTAGGTCACGATCCCACAGTTGTGAGATCGGGCTTGTGTTGGGCTCCGTACTCAGCGTGGAGTTTGTTTGGGGTTCTCTCCCTCTCCCTCTGCTCCTCCCCAGCATGTGTGTGCCCTTGTGGGCACTCTCTTTCTCTTTCTCTTTCTCAAAGTAAATAAATAAAATGTTAAAAAAAAACACTTAAAAAATTTCTTACAAAACCAACAGCTTATTAGTGAGCATTCCCTCTTTGCTGAAAGCTCTCCTTTTTTGTTCTACCTATTCCATTTATTTATTTATTTATTTATTTATTTATTTATTTATTTTATTTATTTATTTATTTATTTATTTATAAGAGACAGAGAGAGACACAGAGACACAGGCAGAGAGAGGAGAAACAGGCTCCATGCAGGGAGCTTGATGTGGGACTCGATCCTGGGATCCCGGGATCACTTTCTGAGCCAAAGGCAGATGCTCAACCCCTGAGCCACCCAGGTGTCCCGTCTATTCCATTTTAATAAAAATCTATTTATCATCTTTTCATTGCTTTTGTGAATTTCCAAGATCAGTAAGTTTGACAGTAGGCTGCATCATAAATCTTAATTGTATTTAACAATTTGTCTTCAATTTAACAGAAATATTCCAAAATGTCTTAAAAAATTAATACTGTATATCCACTTATAAAAATAATTAAAATCCCTTCTCCTTCCTGTGTGTTCTCTTTCAGCTGCATCCGCTGGCTCCTCCTTTTCAGATCACAAAATGCTTAAGCTTCCCTTACTATTTTAAAACCAAACTGGTATTTTCTCTGATTTAAGTGTTAATCTTGCTGCCTAATTCTCAGTGATTTTTTTTCCTTCCTCACTTCCCCTGCATTCTCTTGATTTTTTTTTTCTTTTTTTTTTTTACTTATGATAGAGAGCGAGAGAGAGAGGCAGAGACACAGGCAGAGGGAGAAGCAGGCTCCATGCACCGGGAGCTCGACGTGGGATTCGATCCCGGGTCTCCAGGATCGCGCCCTGGGCCAAAGGCAGGCGCCAAACCGCTGCGCCACCCAGGGATCCCCTCTCTTGATCTTTTAAGATGATTTCCAGATTATTCTACATTAGAGTCTCTTAAACTGTAAAGTAACAGAATCACCTAGACGACTTGTTCAAGTACAAATTGCTGAGCCACCACCTCTCGCTTCCCAGTTTCTGATATTTTTTGAGCCCCCTGGCAGGGGTCTGAGAATTTGCATATCTGAATTTCCTGTGTGATGCTAAAGCTGTTAATTCTGAGAACGTATTTTGAGAACCACAGAATTTGTTCATAGGCTACAGGTGGTCTTCTAATTGCCAAGATTTTCACCCTAAATTCAGTTCTTATCCTATTCATATTTTTTTGTAGTATTTAACGCTGTTAATTATTTTTTCCTTGAAATTTCTCTTCCCTTGGATTCTGTTTCACAGAATGTTTCTGCTTGTCTTTCCAATATAAAATTTTTTTTTCTTCAGTTCCTCCCTCTGAGTCTACTCTTCAGTGTAAACAAACATACCCAAGTCCCAAACACTTCCCTACTTGTTTTTTCCTTTCATCTTCTTTTTTTTAACGTAGGCCCCATGCCCAGTGCAGGGCTTGAACTCCTGACCCTGTTCAAGAGTCCCATGCTCTACCAACTGAGCCAGCCAGGCATCCCCTTGCTTGATTTTGTTCAAACAACCTCATTTAGTCCTGAACTTTCAGTTGTAACTTCTTACAGATACCTTCCATAATTACATTTTTTGCCTAGACTTTTTTCCTTAGCTTCATTCCCTTCTTATGTATTACCCCATAGATGCTCTATTGATACTTCGATAAACAAGTCTTAGAAAATACTCTATCCAATTTAAAAACTTTTCATAGTCCATGACTTTAATGACAAACTTTATAATATCTCTAATATTAAATTTTTTCTCATATACAGAATCTGTCAGGTGTAATATTTTTGTGACAGTTTCTAACTGCTGTGCTATTACTTAAGCTATGTTATTTTTATATGCATTTTTATAAATATTCAGGTTCTCTTTCATCTTCTGGACCGAGTTCGGGAGTCTTCTACCACTGCAGACAAAGAAAAGATTGAGTCTGGAGGTGGCAATATTCTTATTCATCATTCAAGGGACACAGCAGAGAAGCAGTGGGCAGAGACATGGGTTTTAACATTGGCCGGAGTAGCAAGAATCTTCAACACTAGAAGATATTTACTGCAACCTTTAGGTATATCCACTCCCCCCCCCCACCCTCCCCACCCCCGGTTATAGAAGTTATTCATGTTAAATGAAATTTGGAAACTACAGAAGATCTTTAAAAAAAATTTATGTATAGTGCTCCTTCCCAAGAATATTCAGTCTTTTTTTTTTTTTTTTAAGAATATTCAGTCTTAACTTCCAGTCTTTGTTTTTGTGTGATATGTGCATGAGCATACACATTTTCACTCATTTCATTGAGAAAATATATAATGTATCTCTTTTGGGCTAGCCTCTAGGGGATACAATGGTGAGTAACATACACAGCAGTCTTTTTGTCATAGGCCTGAGGGAATAACTATAATTACTTTATAAAAGCAACACTGCTGCAGTGATAAATGTTACAAAGGAATGGTGCTTTGTAAGCTTATAATACATTTTTGACGAGGCCTCTGAGGTCCAAGTAAGCTTCCCTGAAAGATGAGTAGTAGTTCATCAGGCAAAGGTAAGACAAAATGTGAAGTTTTACAGGCAGAGAATGTGTAAATGTCAATGGTACTAAGATTAAGAAACCCCAGTGGAGATTGTACCTTCAATTCTGATGGTAGTGATGGTGATGGTAGAGAAAAATGAACAGAACAGAAATACTGTTTTATGTAATTATGAGCATACCGTACATATTATTGCATTTTTATAAGTTATTATTTTATATTTGGCTTTTTTGTTCCTGTTTATGTTAAAGCATAAGCATATTTATTCTTTCCATCAGCATTTTTGTGTGATGTTCTTCAAGTTCATTTTTTCCTTTTTTTTCAAAAATAATCTATAGTGTCTGATCTATTTTGTACTCCTAGATCTTAATATATAATATATATTAAAATTCTAATTTTTATTTTCACATAAAATTTACATAAAATGAAATGTAGCAGCTTTAAACTGTACATTTGCTAAGTTTTGACAAAATAAGCATCATTTTTAATACTTTCATGATAGTTATTTTATTTTAATTTTATTTTATTTTACTTTATTTTTTAAGATTTATTTATTCATTCAGAGAGAGAGCGAAGAGAGAGGCAGAGACACAGGCAGAGGGAGAAGCAGGCTCCATGCAGGAAGCCCGATGTGGGACTCGTTCCCGGGTCTCCAAGATCACACCCCAGGCTGCAGGTGGCCTTAAACCGCTGCGTCACCGGGGCTGCCCTCATGATAGTTATTTTAAAGACCAAAACCTAATAGATAAAAATCTAGTTTTTAAAAATGAAGACATAAAGCAGTTTGTGTAGCCTTTCTTTGACAGAAGTGTTCTGTTTAGTTTTGGTAGTTTTTTTTTTTTAAGTGTTTTAATCTTTTTTTTTTTTCTTTAATTATGATAGTCACACAGAGAGAGAGAGAGGCAGAGGCACAGGCAGAGGGAGAAGCAGGCTCCATGCACCGGGAGCCCGACGTGGGACTCGATCCCGGGTCTCCAGGATCGCGCCCTGGGCCAAAGGCAGGCGCTAAACCGCTGCGCCACCCAGGGATCCCAGTTTTGGTAGTTTTTAAATGTAATATATCAAAACTCTTTGAAGAGTTCACTAAAAAAAAAAAAAAAAAAAAATCTGTGCTTTCAATTGTATGTAAATTATACCTCAATTTTTAATTAAAAAAAGAGTGAAAAGGAATAGGCATGTAACTGGCCAGGTGTTATTTTTTGTCCTCTATAAAGGCAGAGTAGTACTTATTGTTTCATACCAGGATTACTTCCAGCTTTGCTACTAACTGAATGCTTCCTCAGCCATATGGGCTTATCTCTTACTGAATTCTTCCTCAGCCATATGGGCTTATCTCTTCTTTAAAAATTTAGTCTTTTATAGTCTTTGGGAAGTGACTTTAAACCTTAATTATTTATGTATTTCATAACCTACTTATGGCATCCTGCTTTGGAAAATATCACTTCTTCTAATTTTGGTGTCATTTAAATGCAAGTATGCAGGGCACCTGGGTGGCTTAGTTGGTTAAGTGTCTACCTCTGGTTCTGGTTGTGATCCTGGGGTCCTGGGATCGAGCCCTGTGTCGAGCACCTGGCTCACTGGGGTGTCTGCTTCACCTTCTCTCTCTAACCCTCCCCCCCGCTCGTGTTTTTGCTTACTCTCCCTCTCTCTCTCTCAAATGAATAAATAAAAAATAATAATGAATCCAAATATGTGGGTAATAATCCATGCTATTAAAGCCATTGGGCTAGATTGCTGGAGGAATAAGATCATTTTTGCGGGGCTTCATATAGAAGCAGACTACATGTTATAAAGAACTTCAATATAAATGTGCTTAATTGGTCATAGGAGTAGAACAACAGACTGGATTGTTCAGTGGAAACCCAACAACTGCCATTCAGCCCATGCTTTGCTGATGTTGGATCAGCAGACTCAATTTCACACAAGGGGAACAAATTTAGACTCAGTCTAAAAAAGCAGACTGTTCCTTAGGGTACATTTTCCCCTGGTGACTCGCTATAATTGGGAAAAAAATATTTAAGAAAATTCTGCAACAACAACAACAAAAATTCTGCAACTGTAAGTTTCGTAAATATGAAAACCAAAGGGTAAAGTGTAGATTATTTTAAACATTTAGACCTGTAAAAACGTGTTACTTTGTAACTTCTCCAATATTTTTTAAGAATGAGAACATCCTAAGATCTTAATCATTCATAAAGATAGATGGATAAATCAGAGTTGTTACTAAAAAGCTTTTGTTTTTGGGACGCCTGGGTGGCTCAGCAGTTGAGCATCTGCATTTGGCTCAGGGTGTGATTCCAGGTCCGAGGATTGAGTCCCACATCGGGCTCCCTGCGAGGAACCTGCTTCTCCCTCTGCCTAGGTCTCTGCCTCTCTCTCTGTGTCTCTCAGGAATTAAAAAAAAAAAAAGAAGAAGCTTTTGTTTTTACCCTCTTAAGTTTTTATTCTGTTCTCCTTAGGCAGAAATACCCAGAAATAGTGTAAATGTGTGTAAGACCAAGAAATAGTATAAATATATGTACCTACATTTGTAGAGTTCTGTTTTTAAGACCAAAACATTAATGTACTCATTATTATCTTCTTGGTGCCCTTTGTTTCTATATTTGAAAAAAAAATTTTACTGGATTTTCGGGTTTCATTGATTGTAATTCACATGGTTTGTACCTTAATACCTAAGCATATTTTTTATTTGTATTAATTAATTAAAGATTTTATTTATTTATTCTTGAGAGACACAGAGAGAGAGGCAGAGACATAGGAAGAGGGAGGAGAAGCAGGCTCCATGCAGGGAGCCCGATGTGGGACTCGATCCCAGGACTCCAGATTCATGCCCTGAGCCAAAGGCAGACGCTCAACCACTGAACCATCAAGGTGTCCCTTAAGCATATTTTTTAAAGTTGTGTAGAAATTTAAGTAGAAAAATAAAGCAAACATTCTAAAGTGTGCAGTAGTGAGAGAAATCTTGATCACTTTGATAGATTTTGTTTTCTCTTCCTAATATAGGAGATTTTTCAAGAGCATGGGATGTTCTTCTTGACCATATACAATCAGCAGCACTCAGCAAGAACAATGAAGTATCTTTGGCTGCACTGAAAAGCTTCCAGGAAATTTTACAGATTGTGTCCCCTGTCAGAGACTCAGAAAAGCCCGAGACACCACCTGCAGTTAATGTGCCTGTGCCTGTCCTTATAGGGTCCATATCAGGCCCTGGCCTGAGCAGACCATTTGTAAGAACAGATTCCATCGGAGAGAGACTTGGAAGATATAATAGCTCTGAGCCACCCGAAGTTACCGATGAGCTTGAAGATTTGAATCTCTGGTGGGCTGCATGGAATACCTGGTATAGAATTGGATCTGAAAGCACTAAGCCTCCCATTACTTTCGACAAACTGACTTTCATTCCCAGCCAGCCTTTCCTTACAGCTTTAATTCAGATATTTCCAGCTCTCTATCAACACATAAAAACTGGTTTCAATATGGACGACTTACAAAAGCTGGGAGTCATACTGCACAGTGCTGTGTCAGTCCCAATAAGTTCAGATGCATCCCCTTTCATTCTTCCATCGTATACTGAAGCAGTTTTAACAAGTTTACAGGAAGCTGTACTGACAGCTTTAGATGTTCTCCAAAAGGTAATAGAATTTTAGTAGCCATCTAAACATTAATGCATGTGGTTCGCTGGAAGTTTTTTAGTTTGCTATATATGTTTTGAGATAAATTCTAGATCATCAAGATTGTCATACATGCATACTTTGTATAAATTCAGGATTGTAAGTATCCAATTATTTAAAAAACTTACAGTTTTCTGATGTATTTGAAAAGGTAGTTCAGATTTGTTTCAAGAGTCTTTCAGAAACTGTATCCTCTTGTTTCCTTTCACCAACATTTTTTGTTTGATCATTCAACTCTTCACTAGAAGATATACTTTTCTGAATAATAACTTTAATAGAGTACTTCTATAGTTAGAAAATTAATAAGCTATGGAATCATATATATTGTTTCATTGTACTTAAATTTAGCTCTGGAACCTTTAGAATCCTATTTTTAAAAATGAGTAAGAATAAATTTATAAAGTATTTTCCTTACAAAAATTTTGTCATGGAAATATATCTTACCTATGTGTGTTATGTTAGTAAAATAAACAGACCTAAAAATCATTGAGCAAATCCCAGTTAGCAGGCAAGACCAGATCAAAATCAAAGAATTCTTTAAACTATCGAGATAATTGTTAGCATAATTCACAACAACCAAAATGCTAAACAGAAAAATGCCAGCTGAGGAGCCAGCAATTCTAACAAAGTTGCTATGACATTCTAACAAAATGAAGATGGATCTAGATTTTGATTACACTTGTGTTAATCAGATTTGTGTACTGTAAATCATGTTTTCTAGTTAACTGATTGTGTTATATCCAGCTAGAATGATGAAAACTTTCACAGTGAAAGTAGTGGTCTCTACTACACTGTAATACCTCTTCAAGGCTCTGTCCAACTGAGCACTAATTCCTTGATCTCTTTAACCCTAGTTGCATTGTGCAGAGAAACAAATTGTGTAGTAACTAAAAATGTAAGAGAATCTGACATTTAAAAAACTTCATTTAGGGGTATCAGTTTTCAATAATTAAAATCAAAATAGCTACTCTTTTTAACAGTGGAGAAAAAAAAGTAGCCTTTCAGTTACCTACTTTTTCCCCCTTGATTGACCATACACAAAAGTTGCTTATGGAGTGCCCTGGGAGAGACTGAAAAGTTATTCTGTCAGAAAAGCAAAGCAAAGCACAGGCCTTATGGGACATCTATAATCTAGAACTCTGATTCAGGTGTTTGATTCAAGTTTTTATAAACAAAGAATAAACAACAAACTTCCAAATTCTTGTCAAGGAAAAAAAAGCACATAATTTTATTTTTAAAAACTCTGCCTTGGCAATGACAGAACAGAATGAATGACAGAATAGAATCTTTTATTCTTACTACTGGGAACTTGTTCTCAGCTTTTACTGGTTTTGAAAATCATATCTATATATATACCTTCAATGTGAAACTTAAGAAGCTTTATTGCTGTTCATTTATATCAGTTGATATCAATTTGCGTTACTAATTTTCACTCTAGGGATCCCTGGGTGGCGCAGCGGTTTAGCGCCTGCCTTTGGCCCAGGGCGTGATCCTGGAGACCCGGGATCGAATCCCATGTCAGGCTCCCAGTGCATGGAGCCTGCTTCTCCCTCTGCCTGTGTCTCTGCCTCTCTCTCTCTCTCTCTGTGACTATCATAAATAAATAAAAATTAAAAAAAAACAAACAACTAATTTTCACTCTAGCTATTTTTTTGTTATTTCTATAATTAGTACTTGAATATTAATTGAATATAATTAGTATTGAATATTGAATTATAGAATAATATTCTATAATTAGTATTTCAATATTGAATATTGAGTATATTTCATAGTACTTGAATATGAGTCAAACATATGGTCTTTAATATTTCCTATTAGAAAAAATTAACTTATTATCAGTAAAATTCTTTCTACATTTTCTCCCACAAGTGTCAGGAAATTTTTTCACAAGCAAAATTTACTTACTTTGGGACTTTATCCTTAAATTAATAAGCTATCCAAGAAAACATTTTATTGATTCAATATAATTTCTTTCAGAAAAACTCATTTTTGATTTCACGTTTACCCTTATATAGTTTAGGGTTTCAGGGTCACAGTCTTCCCTTGGTTTTTAAATCCCTTGTTCCCACCAGATTGACTTAGTTGTGTATGCTAATTGATTTTGAGGGGGGGGGGCGGCGGCAAGATATTTTGGCATATGTGGAACCTGAGAATTTGATTATCTGTTTTCCCTAAATTCTGAGATCAGGAGACTCTGTCTTATTCATTGCTAAACTTTAAAAGGTTAGTTGGCTGGATACTGTATCTGTCTTCATCATCAAGGCTGCTGGAGTAGTATTCCAGGATACCATCATGTTGTCTGTGAATGGTGCCCTTGGAGTCTTGCAACAAAGCCCTCCCTGCCTACTACTTAATGGGGAAAGTTTTAGAATCTCTTTATATCAGCTTCTTAATCTATGAAATGAAACTAATAAATCTACAACTTTTTTCTTATTAAATGGGATTTATAAGGCATTTATTGCCTGGCACAGTTAAACATTCACTAGATGTTAGCTGTTACTGTCTTCATCATCAATTTCCTCGTGAAAGTTTTAGTAAAAGGCTGGAGAAGGCAAAAATAGTCTTAGGATAAGTAGGTACTAAATGAATTATTGTTAAAGGACTTAATAAGAGAAACCTTGAACCATGTCAGAGATTGGATGTCCATTTTCTGTTCTTCTTTTCACATACAGTTTTTTTGATCAAACTGTACTAATACTAGGAAATGTCTGGACTGCTGACGGTTCTTAACTTTTGGACTAAAATCTGTTGGGAGGTTCATACTCGTTTTTTCCTGATATATAAACTTAAGAATACTGAAGAAAAACCAATAATAACTTTCTCTTAGATGGGGGATGTTTAAAAAAAAACCTCAGTTCTATATTATGCATCTTAAAATCCCAGGATTGCTTATTAGGTCAACTCTAACACTATAGTATGTTTTCTTTTTATAAAGGACTACTGAAAATCAAAGTGTATAATCATAGTCATTGTCTTGTGCTAAGATAGTTCCAGAGAAATTGTAATTACAAGATGATCTAACTTAATATAAGCAGCACTTTGCATTTCAAGATTCTTTTATCTAAAATTTCAGTCATAACTAAATGGTTACATCTTCTCTCAGGGAAAATAAAATTAATCTATTATCTGAGAGGTTAAAAAAGCCATGGATTGCAGAAAAACATAAGTATGTGCATCTTTTAAAGAAATTGCTTAAAAATTTGAAATGCTTTGAATTTTGATTCAGTACTTTGAGGATACCTCAAGTGCAGAATAACCATGCTTTTTGTTTTGTAAAGCACAAATATATCTTAGACTCTACGTAGATAATATCATGAAATATTTTTCACATAGAGAAAAAGAAACACTAAGTATGTGAAAGACAACAGGAGAAAACACATTTATGGCTAGGAAAAAATGAAAATACAATATCTATTACAAGTACTGTCAACATACCTGAAGTAATTAAAATCTGCTGTATCAGGATATGCATTTTATTGTTTATCAAATTGTTTATAGTAATAGGTTTAATTTTTATTGAATTTTTAAAATTTTCTTATTTTTTTAAAGGTTTTATTTATTTATGGGAGACACAGAGAGACGCAGAGACACAGGCAGAGGGAGAAGCAGGCTCCACGCAGGGAGCCTGATGTGGGACTTGATCCTGGGACTTAAGGCAGACGCTTAACCGCTGAGCGACCCAGGCGCCCCCAATTTTCTTGTTTTAAATCAAGTCTGTATATTCAGATACATTAGGCATTAAATATACACTGCCCTGTTAAAAAATTAATGTATACATTTCTTTTAGAAACAAATTTTCATACATGACTTATCTTTCCATCTAATATACATGATTAAGTCAGAAGACAAAGCATAGTGCAGAAACCAGCTGCCATTTCAATGAACTGATACTATCACTTAAATAGAAGTTTATATCAGTCAATATCATCTTGGTCAGTGAGGGAGGCACTCTTGATGGTCTAATGGTTGTCTTAATGAACAAATAATCCAATCGTGGAACCTCAGAGCTGCCTGGGACTCCTCTTTAAGTGCTTGCCCTTTTTCCAGTCTGTTAAGTAATAAATCACACTTTTTATTAAAAAAGATTTTTTAGCTGATTAACAGATTTAGCCCGTACTTTCTTCAATAATAGTTTAAAATAGCTTATAATAGGTATATCCTTCAGGGCTTGTAAGAGATTATATAATACTTATATAAAATCGGATAGAAATTAAGATTCTTCAGTTAATTGTGTATACAGTGAAGAACTTAACCCGAATTCAGGTTATGCATTCTACCGTTCATATTTTGCTTTTATAGGCCATCTGCGTAGGGCCAGAAAACATGCAGATAATGTATCCAGCTATATTTGACCAGTTACTAGCATTTGTGGAATTTTCCTGTAAGCCTCCACAGTATGGACAGCTGGAAACAAAGCACATTGCAAATGCAAAATATAATCAGGTAATTTGCTCTAAGATATATTTCCTCTATAAGATTTAATGGCTTATAAAAAGTTCCACTTAAGATGGACTTTGAGTATCTCACAAATTTTTCATTCACAAACTTTCATATGTCTTTTAACAGTTTAAGCTGAAAAGAAACACTATTTGGAAATCCTTTTTTGTGTTCCTTTTTTTCTTGTCTATGACTTTCTTTTCCCAAGTAGTTCTCTAGAAAGTTTGGCCTTACATTTTTCTTCAAAGTTCTTTCTTGACTGTCTCATACCCTTACAAAATGGCTTCTAAATCCCTAAGCCTAATCTTGTCTAAAAAATACCTGCAATGCAAAATGAAGAAATCTGTGTGTACTAAATAAGTTGTCTACTGCTGGTGTGAAATTCAGTTGGATTTTTACCTAAAAGATTTTATAGCCATAGTTGGCAAATTTCCACTTTGTTTTGGCTTAGGGGATAAGTAAACTTCTGAATGCATGCACAGGCTGATTTTGTTCACTCAACATTAAATTATAATTTTACATGGTCCGTAAAGTAGTTTTAATGTGTATTAACTTTTCTCATTCTATTTGTCTTGCAACACAATGGAATCACAATAGATCCAACTATTTGCACCGGTGAGTTAAATTTCCTAAAATTGTCCTAACCTATTGGCAGCAAGTAAAGTACATCTTTCCCGGTTCTTGATAGAATGCTCTTTCTGCTTTTTCTGATAGTTTTAATTTTTGCCTGGCTGAAAATTATTCTTTCATGAAGTACATATCTGTTTGAAAACTTTGCATGTTATATGATCTGACCTAAAAACAAGGACTGAACTTTAAGACAAAGAAGGTTTCTCTTTGAAAACAATATAATTTAATTTAATCTCATTTATTTTTAACTCCATGTGAAAATATTACTTTTTAGGCGGAATGGGTAGCCTTGAATTATGTACCGTTTGCTGAAAGGTCTTTAGAAGTAGTTGTGGATTTATACCAAAAAACAGCCTGTCATAAAGCAGTGGTGAATGAGAAAGTACTCCAGAATATTATTAAGGTATCTTTTTCTTTTTTTATTTTTATACTTTGATGATGACACTATTACTGAAATTGTTCTTTAGGTAATAATATATTATCATATATTGAGATAAATGGAAAATATTTATATTGTTATTTATAGGGACTTTTCTCCAACATTCACGGATAGTATTTAGGAAGCCATTCCCAGTATGAAAAGTTTTTTTTAACGAAAAATATTTTAAAGTAAGTATGCATTAGATTTATTACAATTTGTAAATTTTGCCACAAGTCAATGAAGGATCCTGTTTCTTAGGACAGTACTTCTCATACTTCAAGGTTGATGAGCATTCAGGGAGAAATTTACAGCACATCGATTTAACTGATGATATGTTTGGGTTTTTTTTAAAGCCAGTTCTCTAGTGTATGGACAACCATTTTTAAAATTCATTTCTTGTTGATTGTGTCTGATTCCTCCCAAGTTTATTTCTTGTTATTTTCTGTATTTTGAAGGGCAAATGGGAACCTTGCCTTCTATTTACTGAACAAATATAGGCCGATATGAACCATTGTCCCTCAAGGAAGAAGGCCTTTCTCTGTTTCAAAGCTCATTCTTCTCTTTGTTTCCCTCCTTTCCTCTTTTCCTCTTTCTTTGTTGGTAATTCTTTTTCCTTTTAGCCTTGTAAACTGTATCTTGGAAAGATGATTAAGTCCTTTATTTAAGTTCTTTATTAAGTTATCTCACTTTCATTTCTATGCAAATGGCCATCCCCTCTCAGCTTTCCTTTTTTTTCCAAATTCTTTTAAACAGCTTGTGTCCTTCATCTAGCCCTCAACCCACTGCATGCTGGCCTGCTTTCATATTGCGCTCCAGAAATTACTAAAAATTTAGAAGATCAAATCTTTAAATCCTATGTCCTTTTCCCGTTATCTTCCCTATTATATGATGCTGCCCTTGCCTTCTTTAAACTTTTTCTTCTCTTGACTTTTATCACATTCTTTCTACCTCTCCCCACTAACCCCATCACAAATGTTCTCTTTCTCATTTATTGAAAACAGTTTTTAAGCACCTCTGTTGTCAGGTACTAATAAATAGTAGGGATTAAGAATGAGTATGATAATTCTTATATTCAATAAAGGGAATATAGGAAGGCAAAAAAATAGTAATACAGTCTAGTAAGTCCTAGGTGAAGACCACCCAGTGGATTCAGATAGTCTTGCCTCAGAGTAGTGTATTGCTCTTTACTTGCTGCTGTATGATTTTGGGTTAATGAATCTGTCAGAGGGTTTCTCATCTGTAAAAGAAGGTTAATACCAATACCACTTACATGTCTTAAGTATTAAGAGACTCATTTGAGATACAGCATTTAATGATACTTGCCATATGTAAATGCTGAATATATAATTAATCCTTCCTCCCATCCCCCATAGACAAGGAAATAACTAACCTGCTTAGAGGATTTTGGCAAGGATTAATGCAAGTGACACTTGAAGGAGTAATAGATTTGCTAGGTGGAAAGGGAGAAGGATTAAGCAATGTAAATGTTTGTGGTATTTTTTAAAGAAATATTGAGGAATTCCATTTAGAGAAGTGTCAGGTCCAAGAATAAGTGTGAAAAAGTAGCTATGGTTCTTATAAGCCATCATAAGGAATCAGACTTTATTGAGGTTGAACATTGAGGACTGACATGAATCAGTTTGTATTTTTAAAAGAATTAAATAATCTCTTTTTTATATTCCCCCTTTTTGATGCTGCTTATTGCTACATTGTATTGTGGTTAGTGCACAAGGCTCTTCTCAAAAATTGTAAGCTTTGTGTCAGCAAGAACAAAATTTTCTAGTTCCACATACATTTACTGAGCATGTACTATAATGCTAGTTTCTGTACTAGTTGCTGAAATGTTTTTAAACAAAAAAATATATACCTCACATAGATCTGTGCTTAACATTCCCTTGATTTCAGTAAAATATTAATTGTAGTTGTAAACTATATTTTTCTTTTATCTAAACTTGAATTATAAAATGTTAACTTAGACTTGCCCTTGTATAATTTGGTATTATCTTCTTTGCAAATGACATGGTTTCAGGCTCTGACTAGCTTTAAAAATAAAAGGGATTTATTGCCATGCTTAATTGAAAAATTCAGAGATAGAGGGAGAGTTTTAGGTTTGGTTTATTCAGTGGTTCAGCAGTATCAACAAAAATCAAATTTTTTTCTCTCTTTTCTGCTTTTCAAGGGTTGACTGTGTTCCAGCTATGTTTCTCCTCATAGTTATAGGCTAATAAAGGGTTTGGTGTCTAGTAGGTGTGTGTGTGTGCACGTACTTCTCTTATCAAATTATTCTTAAATTCCTAAAATTAACCTTAAGTGGACCAGCTTTAGTCTTATGCCCAGTGTTGAACCAGTCATTTTGGCCAGGAAAATGAAGTAGATTAATTGGCCTAATAAGCTGATCATCTCCTTACCCTAATTCCCAACTGGAAGTCGAGTCAGATTCCCCCAGAGCACATGGGGAAAGGAAAGGGATAAATAGATTTGTCTAGGCTAATTATCTCTTAGTGGAGGCTTACTTAGTTCATGCTAACATGTAATGGTTCACTGTATGAGTAGTCAGTAATAATTTGTGTGGAGCATGATGAAATCAAGTTTTATATTCCTTCCATGACCTTGAAATATGAAAATATATCTCTTCTACTCTTTATCTCTCTCTAACTAGAATTTTTATATAAAAGCAGGATATTCACTCTAATGCAAATTATCTGATGGTATGCTGAAACTATTGATAGTACTCTGGGACAACTCACTGTGGTAGTTTGGTCAATCTGGTCTTCTAGTTGCTGGATGAAATTATGACCAGAGGAGTTCGTTCTGAACCACCAAATTAGTTCTTTAATTGTTTATAGCGACCTACCTCAAAAGTTGACATTTAAAAAGTAAGTCTCAACTTCATAGTCACTATACATAACTCAGATGCTTTACCTCCGTATCCGCAAGGGTTAAAGAATAAACTTTTTAATTATCGGTTTTACTGAAATAATTTGGAAATGGAAAAAAAGGTACATTAATATGTTAGAGTAGAACATAAAATTCAAAGAATTTTAGAGACAAAACATAAGACCTTCAACTGTTGATGCTTTAGGTTATGTTTACCTAACCAATAGTGATAAAAGACAAAATATTGATCTCTCTTCGGTGGGAGAACCCCATCAGTCAAATTTTTTTCTGCTAGGAAAACTATGGCAAAATGTTCTAGTTCCATACAGTAAGTTGAGAGAAGCTGCAAAATTTTAAGTTTACTACTCCTATCTTAACTTTTCTGATAACAATCCCTATATTTTATGATGAGAAACTGAAGTTCAAAAGGTTGTTACTTATTCAAGGTCATTGCTTATAAAATGGAGACAGAATATCTTTCTAGGGAGTAGGATTTGAATTCCATGTCTGATAATTGATCTTTCTAGAGAGTAGCATCCTTTTTTAAGTAAAAATACCTATGATACTTTTTTTCTCTCTGCTATAGTTTTTAAAAGTAATTAAATTGTGTGTATATATTTTAATTAATATATATCTTAAACTGTCTTTATTTTCACAGACACTTAGGGTTCCTCTCAGTTTGAAATATTCCTGCCCTTCTGAAAGCACATGGAAATTAGCAGTATCTTCTCTCCTCAAAGTTCTTTCTATTGGGCTACCCGTTGCCCGGCAGCATGCGTCTTCTGGAAAATTTGACAGTATGTGGCCAGAACTAGCCAATACTTTTGAAGACTTTCTCTTTACTAAAAGGTCAGCCCATTCAATTTTACAATTATAAGACAATCTCTCAAAAAGTGTATAATACCTGCAGTTGATCTAAAACCAGTATTTCTTACTATTCATTAGCAAAGTAATTATTAAGACTGCTCCATTGTATGCAAAGCACAACTGATTTTTTTTTTCGATGCAAACACATGCATAACTGATTAAACATATCCACTAGGTTCATTATCCGTGAGATTTTTTTATTTTCACAGTGTTTCTGGTTTTAAGAAAGGAATTCATAAGACTGTATGTATGCATCGTAATTAAGGTTTTAACTCATTGAAGCTAAGATCTTTTTTTTTTTCAAATCTGCTGCCCATTTGACATTGCAAGAAGAAAACAATTTCAGAAAATCAGTATTTTACCACAAGTAAAATTAGTGGTGATAATGATCAGCTCTTTAAGATGTTAGGTTTGACAAAGAAAATTGGAATTTTTGCTGTGTGATACTCCCCTGAGGGCTTATGTTTATGGATCCTCTTCTGACCCCTCCCTGAGTAACAGAAGGATAATTGGAACACACTAAATTTTTTAAAGGAGTCTTCTGTGGGTTAATTTAAATTTTGCTGTGTAAAAGCTTATCTGGTATTTCAGAATTGAGGGCAGCCGGTGGCTCAGTGGTTTAGCCCCGCCTTCAGCTCAGGGCATGATCCTGGAGACCCAGGATCCAGTCCTACGTCAGGCTCCCTGCATGGAGCCTGCTTCTCCCTCAGCCTGTCTCTGCCTTTCTCTCTGTCTCTCTCTCTCTCTCTGTCTCTCTGTCTCTCTCTCTTTCTCTGTCTCTCAAGAATAAATAAATAAAATCTTTTTTTTAAAAAATTGAAAGTAATGACATCCTAATTTCTGTTTCCACAAATGATCATTTTGTTTTACTTTGTTTTATGTTTCTCAACTCTAGGAATCTTATAGAACCAATGCAAGCATAGTCTGTATTTGCAGAAAAATTACAGGGACTCACAAAGCTTACTCAAACAAATTATGTTTTTATCTTTAACCCTGAAAATTGAAGTTTCTTTATGGACTCCATTGCCTAAAATCACTATGTTAATATGTATGAATCAAATAGGTTTAGAAATTTACACTTTCCTTTTTCTTTCCCAGTTATCTGTCTGTATATGCATGTTGCTTAATTAATGCAAGCTTCTACACCAGGTTTTTTGGCAATGAGTAAAACTTCTTTAAGATTTTTTCCTGTGGCTGAGTCTTTATACCATCTTCCTTATTCTCAAGTTTCTTGTTGAATATTGCAAACTTCCCAAACTTTGTTATTATATTAAATTCAGTTTTCTGAAATAATTTTTATGTGTTTGTGTACAGGTAAGTAGAAAATGAAACCAAAGTCCTAAAGATAGATACTGTATAGCTTATGTCATTTTGTATTAATGCAGTTATACTATAATTTCATCATAGTCTTTTGCCTGAGTATGGTCCTACTTACATTAAAGTTTTGAGTATACTGGTATGTTGAAAAATCATATTGCTCAAGAAGCTGCCAGCACAGTGCACTGACTCAGTATCATTGAGGCGAAATCAAGAATTGGCTGCTTAACCAACTGAACCACCCAAGCACCCCAAGTATTAAGTCACTTAAAATAAATGACTGCTTAGAGTAGTACCTGGTACGTGAGTGCTTTTAAGATGCTTGCTACCACTTTTATTATCCTCATTATTGTTATTTCTTTTCCTTAGGAGAAAGTAATGTTATGGGGTGCCTGGGTGGCTCAGTCTGTTAGGCATCTGCGTTTGGCTCCAGTCATGATCCTGTGGTCCTGGGATTGAGCTCTCTGCTCAACAGGGAGCCTAGTTCTCCCTCTCCCTCTGCCTCTCCCCCTTGACTTGTGCTCTCTCGCTCACTCTCAAATGAATAAATAAAATCTTAAAAAAAAAAAGAGAGAGAGAGAGAAAGAAAGTGATGTTATCCATATCCTTTCCTATGAAACAGCCATATTTTAAAGCAGACTTTTAAAGACCTAAACTCTAAATAACTGGGAGTAGAAAATTGCTTCTAAATTTGGAATTGCTATAATGGCTAGAAAATAATAAAAGTACTAAATTTGCTGTCAGTAATATAGAATCGGCATTCTAAGTTGTGGTTATTCTAGTTACAGATTTAAGTGTTCTGCTATCCTGTAGAGAGTCAGAAGACTCATGACCTACTTTGGCCTCTACCACCTACTTCCTGTTGACCTTGAACTGGTTCTTTCCCTTCAGTAGGCATCATTTTTCTTAATTGTAAGATGAAATGAATTGGTTAGTTGTAAAAGTCCACTAGTTTATATATTTTGATTTAAATTTCTCAATGTGAAAACAGCTTATATGAATAAAGCCAGTTTTAGTTTTTTTTATTTCATAGTCCAAAAATATTTTAAGGCTCAAACTGAAAGCTTCCTTTAGTTACCTGAGGCTGAAAATGCAGTGTTCACTAAGAGAACTTAAAAATGATTCACGTTTTCAGTTTTATGAGAAGGTTTTTTTTTCTTTCAAATAATTGATTACTTTGGAAATCACAAAATTTTATTTATGTCACATGTATACTTGTTCTGTACCTGAAGTCCATCACTAGTATTTGAACGGTAAGGTGTTTCAGCATATTGCTTGGAGTAACAAGACTTAGGTTTTTAGATAATACTTAAATTTAAATATATTTCATGTTGGAACATTTATAAATTCTTTAACTTAATTAATACATACTGTAAGACTCTATGAAGAACCAGGCCTTTCTCTGTTTCTTAGCTTTTTTTTGGTCTGTCAGCTATTTTGGCAAAATAGTATAATAACAAAGGAATACAAATAAAGCCAAAATTAGAAGAAAACAAAGGCTTTGGATGTTATTGAGGACTATCATAAATAAATACGTTACATGAGAAAAAGAAAAAAACGTGATTAAAATGGAAAAATATAGAAAGTGTAATCTGGTAGACACTTGAGGTTTATTAGGAATTTAGTCATCCTTAGAGTACTGAAACATGGCACTAATACTCTAGAATACACTTGGGCTAGTGGGAATTCCTACAACTAATGGTCAATGGACCTTAAGTTTAAAATCACCAAATGGGGCACCTTCGTGGCTCAGTCAGTTGAATGTTCTGCCTTCAGCTCAGGTCATGATCTTGGGATCCTGGGATTGAGCCCTAGGTCAGGCTCTCTGCTTGGTGGGGAGTCTGCTTCTCCCTCTCTCTCTCTTTCTGTGCTCTCTTTCCCTCTCTCGCTCTCTTTCTCAAATAAATAAAAAATAAAAATATGTATATAATCACTAAGTAGTAACCAAAAGAAATCTGATGAAGCATATTCACACAGAAACTTGCTAATATTCACAGCAGCGTTTTTGTTTAAAGATTTTATGTACTGGGATCCCTAGGTGGCGCAGTGGTTTGGCGCCTGCCTTTGGCCCAGGGCGCGATCCTGGAGACCCGGGATCGAATCCCATGTCGGGCTCCCGGTGCATGGAGCCTGCTTCTCCCTCTGCCTGTGTCTCTGCCTCTCTCTCTCTCTCACTGTGTGCCTATCATAAATAAATAAAAAAAAATTTAAAAAAAAAATCAAAATAGGCAAATGCATAGAGACAAGAGAATAGACTAATGGCCACAGGTGGGAGGAGGAGACAGTGAGGAGTGACTGCTTAAAGTACAGAATGTCTTTCAGGAGTAATGCAAATATTCTAGAATTAGATGTGTTACAACTTTGTGAATATGCTAAAAAGCACTGAATTATATACTTTAAGAGGTGAATTTTATGGTATATGAAATTATATCTTTAATACATTTTTTTAATATACCATACTGAGAGAACTGACAAAAAATATAAATAATACTTTATCAGTTTGAAGGCTCTTGTATTTCAAATAAAGATTCACAAAAATAATTTTTTAAAAAAATCACCTTAATCTTAGAGAATTTAAGGATCTTATATGGCCCATTTCTACCTGCAATATTGACAATCTCTACTTATAATTTATTGGTAAACTGTGTTAATCATCGGTGTTTCTAAAAACTCAGTGTTTTTTTGATATGCTCGAAGTGTTTGGTAAGGATACTAACTATAAGTTAAAACAAATAACAGTTTGGGTTTTGAGATCAGAATACCTAACGTATGCCCAATCGAATAATTTCCCGATTTTTTTGATCACTGGAATTAGGAGGAATAAACTTCTCAGTTTCTGACTTTGTGTACTACTTTCTTTCTCATTTTAAGACATTTTCAAAATGCAGTTGAGTGTTTCTGATGTATGATCCCAATAACATTAATATTATTAGTATCTGTTCCTAATAAGCTTTTTTTAAATTGGCAGCCCATCCTAGTTACCTCCACCATCATCAGAATTTTTGTATATCACTGAACACTTAACATTACTTGATAATAAATTAGAATTAAACGCAGTTTTTATCTCTAGAAATAGAAACTGTAAAGCTCCTTTAGCAGTAGTGGTTATGAAATTCTCACCATTGCTGCAAATTTGGGCACATGTCTTTAGATTTTTCCTGTAGTTTCCTACTACCAGATTATGGAGTTAGTCTAGCTAGGACTTGCACACCAGAATACAGGTTTCCTGCAACAGGGACTGGGTCCATCTTATTCACAGCTGGATCTTGTATAGTGCCTGATACAGAGTAATTGATACTCAGTAAGTATTTGTTGGATAAAAAATATCTAAGTCAAGCAGAGATCTGGTACTTGTAATAGAGTACATTTGCATGTGTGTATGTATGTGTATATTCTAATACTTGTAAATAGAAAAACCAAATAATACCAAATAAAGCAAAAATAGCCCTAGATAATAAAACTGTACACTATAAACTTAAATAGGAGAGTACTATTTTTACGTTTACAACGTGAAAGAGAAGAATTTAGGCTTAAATATCAGAGAAGTTTAGGGTCAAATTCAGGCCTTGTCATTTGCTTACAGTACATTTTTGGTCATATTACTAGCATTCGAAGCCTCAGTTTCCTCTTCTGTCAATTACATGAAGATAATATTTATTACATGTAGTTACTGTGTGATCATATAAGGTAATACAAATAAAGCTCTTAGTACATTGCTTGGCTCTGTAATTTTAGCTATAATTGTTGTAAAAATCATTGATATCTGATTCTCTGCTGTTTCTAAGTAGTTAATATTTCACTGTTTCAAGTTTAATACCATTTTACTGCTCATTTTTATTAAGAGTCATAGTTTAGAATTCACCTTGGTTCTCTCAGAACTGTTGATTTCTAATCTTGCTGGGACAATTTTCTCCTTTTTTTCCCCCCAGATGTTCTCTCTTTTATTTTATTTTATTTTTAAGATTTATTTATTTATTCATTCAGAGAGAGCAAAGAGAGAGGCAGAGACACGGGCAGAGGGAGAAGCAGGCTCCATGCAGGAAGCCCGATGTGGGACTCGATCCTGGGTCTCCAGGATCACACCCTGGGCTGCAGGCGGCGCTAAACTGCTGCACCACCGGGGCTGCCCTCTCTTATTTTAAAGACCTTTAATATATTGTGTTTATTACAAATTAGTGATTAATGGGCAGTCTCTGAGTGAATAGTTCAACAGATGACCAAGACTCTCTTAAGTCACTGGCAATATAATTGAATTATATTGGTATCATCACAGTGGTAATTTTTGTTGTTACTGCAGATGATAGTAATAGCTTCACTTTTTATTTTCATTTTTTCATTCATAGTGCTGAAAGGAGTTTAGTTTTAACAGATTTTATTTAGTTCAGGATTGGACCAAGCATTTTTGTAGCTAGAATTTCATGTTTGTAATTAGTCACTTATACTAATAACTTTAATTAAAAATACTATTCTTTTAAATAAATGGTAATGTCTAACCTGGGTGAGAAAATACTTTTTGTCATTTAAATACTGTTTATTTCCAGGGAACATTTTACCTTTTAAAAATCAAGTGTTTTGTTTATTTTTTTTAGCATACCTCCAGATAATCTCTCTATTCAAGAATTTCAAAGAAATGAAAGTATTGATGTTGAGGTAAGGAAGCTATTTAAAACATTTTCCTGTAACCATTTGTGCAAACCAAATATTAGAAATGTTGAAACTATAAAATTGTTAAGAGAAAAAGTAAAGTAAGTAATAGGTTAAGATTGAAACTAAAAGCATTAAAACTTTCACAAAGATTAAATGTTAGTTTTGAAAGCACTTACATGATTTCCTTATATTTGTTAGCTTTGTGTCGAGGTACTCAGTTGCTTCCAATTAATAATTTTTTAAAAAGCAGTTGACTCAGTAAAATCTATCAGTTGTTGAGCATGTATGTATTTGAGAGTTTGCTCAATAAGGTTCAAACTAATCAACAAGTTGTTCAGAATTTTTTTTTTTAAAGTAAGCTGTGTGCCTAACATGGGGCTTGAACTCATGATCCTGAGATCAAGAGTCTTACAATCCACTAACTGAGCCAGCCAGGCACACCTATTTTATTTTTAATAAAATAAAAGCTGTAGATAGAGCCTCTAGAACTCTGGAAGTAAATGAGTGTTTTTTAAAAAAATATATTTTATTGATTATAAATGGAGTTTAAAAAAGTTTTTTGCCTGTGAGGTTTTTGTTGGGGGAGGTGTTCTGATGATTTTCCTTTAAGTGGGATAAAGGATCTTTTAAGTAAATCAAATAAACTACTTTAACATGTACATAAAAAGTGTATGTATCATATAGATATAAAATATTGCCTTTTGTCCATTGCTGTTTTAAAACTTATAAACTTTTCCTTCAAAGGGCAAAATAACACATTATATATTAGAAATGAGCTGTTTAACAAAAATGAATATAATTTTACTTTCTCTTTTGGCTCATTGTTATGGGTAAAAATAGGTGATTTAGCTCTTATTCTTAATTCCATTTTGGATATTTTATTCTAACGTGGATACATTTCATATAAGATCAACACTTATTAAAATGGTTGCGTAGTAAACAGCTTAATAGTATTGACTATTTTGTAATTTATTATTAAAAATAAGTTTATTATTAAGATGAAAGAAATAGGCTACTCGTCCTGCATGTTAACATTAAAAGATTTATGTACTTTAATTAAGGAAGATTCTTCAACTGATTTTCTTTTAAAATAATATTTAGATTTTACTCTAGAAATTGTAATTTGAGTAGGTCTCTTTCAAGAAAAAAATGCATTTGAGTCTGCCTCTTTTGTTTTAGGTAGTTCAGCTTATCAGCACTGAGATACTACCGTATGCCAATTTTATTCCTAAGGAATTTGTCGGACAGATAATGACTATGCTTAATAAGGGCTCAATACATTCCCAGTCATCATCATTTACAGGTATGTTATTTTAATGACTTATTTAAAATGTTAATAAGTGTTGAAGTACTTTGCAAGAAGCTTCTAGAAATGTATACTCCTGTGATTGTGATAAAATGTAAACTGGAGAATAGTAGGGTAAAATTTAAGAATGTGATGGAACATTAAGCTTTATGACGGGAAAATGTGAATGTTCTATGGCCTGTGTGTATTAAGTTGCAGAGCACTTAGGAAACCTGCCTAAGTCACTGTAGGCTGACACAGGTTCACGGTTCTGTGAAGTCATGGATTATTGGGACACAATGAGCATATTATTCTGCCACCTGGCTCTTGGCTGGCTTGAGTCTCAGCTTTGTCATCTGTAAAATGAAGATATTAATATCAATCACTCAGAATTATCAATTACAGTCAGTTAAAACAGATAGATGCCTTAATGTTTAATAAAGGAACTAAGTTTAGTAAATGCTCACTATGTGGAGGGTATTATGATAGAATGTTCTCTCTTTCTGCACCACATTTCTATGAGGATAGTTTCTACCATATTGCAGAGGGAAATGGGTTTAGAAAGGTTGGAGAAATTATCCATAATCTAAAAGCTGGAAGCCAAATTCATCCCTCAAAGGAACTCCATGCTTGTTTTCATTTTATCATGCTACCTTATTGGGAGATAAGACTTAATTGCCTTTTGCTATTATTTCTTTTTCTAAACCTGTGCTCAATTGTTAAATGTAATTGTGGTATCATAACATGATTTTTTCCTGTGAGAAGATTTTTAAAAAATATAAATTTGTGCTATGCATATCCTTAATCCCCAGAATTTACCAGAGCTATGACTAACTTCTGCTAAACTGTGCTAAACACTTTAAAGAGCATTTAAATGTGCAGTTTGGCCACTAGATGTCTCTCATACTGCTTACTTCACGAACTACAGTCGTTCTTTTCCCCAGCCCAGATAAGTTATAAAAATAAAGTGCAGATTTATAAAGTGCAGATTTAACAAGCATAAAAATCTCAGAAAAAATTAAATCCTGCTTATATTAATAGAGTCAACTTTTTATTATTAAGTAAGAGTACATAGGGATGCCTGAGTGGCTCAGCGGTTGAGCATCTGCCTTTAGCCCAGGGCGTAATCCTGGAGTCCTGGGATCAAGTCCCACATCGGGCTCCCTGCATGGAGCCTGCTTCTCCCTCTGCCTGTGTCTCTGCCTCTCTCTCTCTCTCTCTTGAATAAATAAATAAAATCTTTAAAAAAGTACATAAAAATTTCTAGATACATTTTTATTTAAAAAAAAGTATTACGAACAATATTTATAATCAGTTGTAAATATTTTAGGCTAAATAAGGACTACTGAGTTGCTGTGTATACTTTTTCAAACAGTTTCTGATAACTCTTGCCATTTATTGTGTCAAATATACCAAAATAAGGAAGGTACATGAGCATTTGTCCAGTGGCTTTGCCATAGGACACAAACTTAACAGTTTTAACTTGGAGAGGTTTTAAAAACATATATATAGAAAATCTTCATGCTAAACCAGACCAACTTCTAGAGACCTGGGTTCCAGTGGTCATTTTTGGTCTACCATTCTTAAGTATGACCTAATAGCCAAAACTTTTAGAGAAAATCTTCCAACATGAAAGAGAAAAACCAAAACAATGAAGAGGGAGTAACAACTCAGAGGAAACAAAATTGAGAGCCACAGAAACACAGCTCTTCCCCCCAAAAAGCACAATTATAATTAGGATGTTCAAAGAGATAAAAGATTTTGCATCCATGAAACAGAAAATGCTATTAAGAAGGAGCAATGAGTACGAGACAGAACTCAAAGAAACTAAAAATGTGACTGCTGAAATAAGTCCAGTGAAAGGTTGCAAGAAAACATAAGGAAATAACCCAGAAAGCAGAGAAAGACAAAAAAAGTGGACAATATGAGAAGAAAGTGAATCCAAGGGGTTAACATCTGACAATAGGTCTCCCAGAAAGAGAAAATAGAGCAAAGCTGAAAGAGGAAATTATCAAAGACATAAAGTGAAGAAATCAGTCTCCAGATTAAAAAAAGGTCACTCAGTAACCAGAACGGTGAAAGAACAAAGATCCACAGGAAGAGCCACAAATTTCATGTTGTCATGAAATTTCAGAATATCTGGGCTAAAGAAAAGTGTAAGATTTCAGAAAAACAAGAAAAAAGACCGGACAAAAGATCTTGGACTTTGCAGTAGCAGCATTGGATATAAAAGACATTGACGCAGTGGTTTCAGACTTAAAATCAGAAAGGATTTTTAACACGGGGTTTCATACGTAGGCCCACTGTTGTCAGAGTTAATTTAGCCTAGAATGGTAATTCACAAATGTTAGCATGTGTTATAAGAAGCTGCAAGGGCAAGCTATTGCTGGACTGTAGTCTTTGAGCTTCTGATTCAATAGGTTGGTGGTGGGATATGAGAATTTGCATTTCTAATGAGTTCTTTGGTGCTGCTAATGCTACTAGGTACCACTCTTTGAGTACCACGGTAAAGTAGTATCTTCAGAAATGCAAGTTCTGACAAATTTTACTTCCTATTCAGGCTTTCTCAGGTACTCCAGAATATGCTCCATGAATACAAAGGAGTAAACCAAAGAAACAGAAGGCATGAACCTAGGAAGTGGGGTATAAAACAGGAGAGACTAAAAACAATTCCGACTAGTTCAAGGATACAGCTAGATAGTAGGTCTAGAAAGCAGCCAGTCCACACTAGAGCAGAGGTGTGGCTCTGGGAGAGATGTTACCCAGAGGAAGGAAGAAAGGGAAGGAGAGAGGAAGAAGAAAGAAAGAAAATGAATACTGCAAGTTTGACCTTGGGGAAAACCATTGAGAAGCATTTTATAGTGTTGTCAAAGGGTACAGAAAGAAGACAAAAATATTATGTAGAAATGAGAGTGGACAGTCTTGCCTTTTTTTTTTTTTAATCTGGCAAGGTGGAAAATTGTTACATATATGCTGTTAGCTGTAAGTTTTTCATAGATGCCTTTCATCAGTTGAGGAATTTCCTTTTCTATTGCTAGTTTGCTAAAAAGTGTTATCATGGGTCATTAATTTAACCTTTTGTTAACCATCAAAAATTGTTAATTTTACAGAAGCGGAGATTGATATTCGTTTGAGAGAGGAATTTTCTAAAATGTGTTTTGAAACATTGCTCCAGTTTTCCTTCAGTAATAAAGTCACAACACCTCAAGAAGGCTACATCTCACGAATGGCACTTTCAGTGCTTTTAAAGAGATCTCAGGATGTACTTCATCGCTATATAGAGGATGAAAGATTAAGTGGTAAATGCCCTCTTCCAAGGTATAGATTTTATTTTATAGATGAAGGAAATATGCTATGAGAGTTACTAGCTCTGAGCACTATGTTGTTTTTATAAGTGATCTGAACGTAATCTAAAGCTGTTTATAATTTTATTTATTTTATATAGTGTAAATATTCCTAAGTCTTGCTGCTCTTTTGTTCTGGGATGCTTTTTCAGACTCCTCATGGAGGTTAAGTAATATATATGAACCAAATTTCCTTTTGGATTTAAAAGAAAATTTTGGAATCTAAAATATGTCTTCTTAAGGATTTCTGGATTATGACTTACGGATCTGTATGAGCACATAAGTGTGGATCTCTCCAGAGAGAAAATAATAGATAAATCATACTCTCGGAACTTCCTGGTTTGTTTTACAGTTATTTTTAGTTTCTCTGTAAGTCAACTAGCCATGACTTAGATCTTTTCATCTGATTTACTTAATTAAGCCCTTCCTAAAGTAATTTGCTTCCCTTATAGCCAAGCTGTGTAAGTAGAAGGGATTCTAGGCCTTTCTGGTAGGCCAAATCTAATCAAAGTTGGGGTAGAAATCAGAATTCATCAAAAAATGCAATCATAATTTAGGATTATATCACCAATCTATTTTTTTAATGTGGGAATTAGAATTTAAGGCAAAGCAAATGAAACAATATTAGAAGAAAAAGTTGTCGAAGTCAGGAAAGAGTTATGAAAATCATTATGGGTCCCATCTCATATAAGGTAGTATTGGAGAGGCAAATTACAAGCCCTAAATATTTGTGTACATTCTTATTTACTTAAAATAAATTTTTGGAGTTAGAATAGACTTGTCAGAAGATAAAGACATTTTAAATTTTAAAAGCTTTTGATATGTATTACAAATTGCCTGCCAAAGATTTCTACCAAATCACATTCTCCCAGGAGTATATAAATGTCCTATTCCTCAGTTTTAAGTATTTTAAAATTATTTGCCAGTTTATGACTTATTTTATCTTTTTAAAAAATTTGATAAATGAAAAATAGTTACATGGTAGTTTGTGGTTTTTTTAATTATCCATGTTTATTAGTCATTTATATTTCAATTTTTGAGATCCACTGTATTTTGAATTTCTAAAACATAAAAATTATACCTCCTTATATTCAGATTTATGTATGAAAAAATTCCAGACAGGTGTTGGTGATTTGGTTATGGGCATGATTGAAAATTGATTTATCAAAATTGATCTCTGAAGTATACTTGGAGAATCAGTAATAAAGTTACTTTGTTTGGAATATCTTTATTTATTAGGTTATAATATTATTTGATTTCAGAAAGCAACTTTTCCTTTTTTAATGTTTTTAGTGTTTATTGCTTTTACATTGAGACATTTATTATAGTTCTGTAAAGTTATATTGTATCTTCCTGTGTTTGATGCAGTATCATTATTTTCTAAAAAGCTACATCGCAACACAATAACATTCCTCTATGCTTAAAAAGAGAGACTTGAAATAATATTAGAAAAATCCTTTCTGTAGAATGCAAACACAGATTCATATCAGGACTGAGGAGATTATGTAGGGAGAAGGAAGAGACTCAAGCTACTCTTACTGAATATCCTTTACTCTCAAGTTCATTCTTCATTGCTAATGTCTCTAAATAGTACCCCTTTGCATTAATTTTGAGCATGTTTCTTTTCTATTAGAAAGTTAAATAAGTAGTGTTGTAATTTTTTTCCCCATCCCAGTACTATGGTAATTTTTTTAAAAAGATTTATTTATTTATTTGAGAGAATGAGAGAGAAAGAGAGAGACTACAAAGGGGTAGAGGGAAAGTCAAGCCGACTTCAGCTGAGCTCAGATCCTGACATGGGGCTCAACCTTATGACCCTGAGATCATGATGAGCCAAAACCAAGTGTTGGATGCTTAACTACCCAGGCGCCCCTGTACTATTATATTTTAAATGTCCTTTTAACAGTATGATAAAATACATGCCAGGAGGTACTAGTAGTCTTAATTCCATTCAAACTTTGGCAAATCCCTGTTAGCACTAATTAGTTAAAAAGAAAAAAAACCCACTTTTGTAGAGAAGCTTTAAAAGCATGTATTATAAGATGTTTTAAATTTAAATAGTTCTATGAAATTTTTTTTTAAGATCTTATTTATTCATGAGAGAGAGAGAGAGAGAGGCAGAGACACAGGCAGAGGGAGAAGCAGGCTCCATGCAGGGAGCACGATGTGGGACTTGATCCCGGGAGTCCAGGATCACATCCTGAGCCGAAGGCAGATGCCCAGCTGCTGAGCCATCCAGGTGTCCCAGTTCTATGATATATTTTACAAATAAATTTAAAATTGTCCAAGTAGATTGTCCCCCTTTTGAAATTACTAATTTATGATAAGAGTAACTATAAATCTGCACACTGAAATACATTTTTTTTAAAGATTTATTTATTTATTTATTCAGAGAGAGCGAAAGAGAGGCAGAGAGAGAAGCAGGCTCCATGCAGGGAGCCCGACGCGGGACTCAATCCCGGGTCTCCAGGATCACACCCCAGGCTGCAGGCAGCACTAAACCGCTGCGCCACCAGGGCTGCCCTGAAATACATTTTCAAAAGACTTTAAAACTAACATTAACTTTGCATTGTATTGTGTCCAGTATTTTTCCAAAGTACACCTACTTGTATAAACCTGGTAAAAAAAACACACGTGGCATGTCTTAAAATCCTGATGGAAATAATTTCCCATCTCTTTTTTTAGGCAACAAGTAACAGAAATCATATTTGTCTTAAAAGCAGTCAGTACTCTCATTGATTCACTTAAGAAAACTCAGCCTGAGAATGGTAAGTGCTTAGAAACTCAGTTATTCTAGACTCATAGTATTTATGTCCTATTTCTGATGTACTTTTCTGTTATTGTTAAGGTAACTGAATTTTAGGAACATAACAACTATTAGACTTTCTTTTTTCTAGCTCTTATGACAGCAAAGAATCAAGTCCATTAGGATGTCAATTAAGTAAAATTAATTTGTAATGTTTTAGCTTCTTTATGTTAAATACCAGTTTGGCTTTTTTGTTTTGTTTTTTAACAAAGTTGGTCTGAATTCAAGATGTTGCATGGATAATTCATATATTTTTAATGCAGAACATCACTAAGTTTTGGGGTAGGTGTAGGCTTCCATCCTACGTGTGTACTAAATTACAGTATATGTATGAACTATACAACTTTGAATCATTTTATAGCTTTACCTCATTTGTTTCCCCTTTCTGTAACTCATTCCTCTTCTATCCCTTCTTTACATTATTGCCAGAAATGATTTTTCCAAAAGTGCAGCTTTGATCATACATTTTCCCATCTTTGTAAAATAATTTTCATTTATCATTACTTACTGAATGCAGAGTTCCATTGTCAAGACTCCATTAGGTCTATGCTTTATTTCCATTAGACATTATATATCCTATTTTCCCACCAAACTAAAATCCGTAGTCTACCCAAGTATTCCCAACCTTTTGCTTATTTCATTCTCCTGCCTTCATCTATGTAGTCCAAATACCACTTTTTAGCCTTGTTTTAAATCCTTAATCGTGAGTGATTTCTTTTTTCATTGAACTTGTAGCTATTTTTTGTGTCCTTTTGTCTTAAAGCATTCTATGTGTATTACAGTTGGACACATACATGACTCAGTTCCCTTAATTTGTAAACTTCTTGAGAGGCCTTTTGGGCCATGTTTTGTTCTATTTTGAATCCTTTGCATTGCAATGCAAAGTGGTTTTTTCAAGGACAGGATAAAGGGCTGGCACCAGAATATGAGTTAATTGTGTCACTAAACACAGTGATTCAGTTGACACTTTTTATACAACAAGCTTTTGTTAGAGAAGGAAGTGTGCTGACTTACTGGCCCAAGCACCTTTGCAGACTGGCACTTTAAGCAGCATTTTAATAACCAAGAAGGAGGTTCCTGATAAACGCCTAATAAATGAGTCCTAGATATTTGTTCCTGGCAGTTATATAATAAAAGTAAATACATATTTTTCTTTTTTCAAAATTTACCATTGCTGCTTTAGCCTAGAGTGAATGAGTATTATACTAAACATTAAGGAATGACAGATTTGTCATTCAATCCAAAGGGAGGGGTGGAATTTGTAAGAAAATTTGGGGAGCAATATTCTGACTTTATTCCATCAAGTTCAAATCTGATTTCTTTAAAAAAAAAAAAGGTTCTCGTTGATATTTCAGAGAAGGAAACTGTGCATTAACCTCCTAGTGACCAGTAAAATCTTATTAGACCATAGGATAGAATTCAATTCTTAAAAATATATTTAAGACTTAAGCAGGAAATTCTCTAATTCCTATGTTATTGCTATAGGTATATTAAATATAACCAGTGTATTTTAATGCATGGTGCTTGCATTATTTTGTAGGATTTTTAGACAGCTGTCAAGAATTTAACCAGAATTTATATAAAGGAAGAAAAGGGAAGGAAAACCTGGTAGCTTTTTTTCTTCTTCTTTCTTTCTTTCTTTCTTTCTTTCTTTCTTTCTTTCTTTCTTTCTTTCTTTCTTTCTTTCTTTCTTTCTTTCTTTTTACAAATCTGGTAGGCCATGAATAGGGCATTACAGTAATGACAGATGATTTAACTTACTGTTAAAAATTGTCTAAAAGAGTTTGAATTGTGGCTCTAGATATATGAAGTGAAAACTTAAATTGTATGTAACCATAAAAGATGAAGATACTGTAACATATTACAAAGTTACGATAAGCTTCATGAAGAAACAAAGAAGGTAACTTAGAAAAAGCCAGCCTTTTCCAGTGGAAGTATGTTGGATTGCTCATAGCCAGTCCAAAAATAATTCAGGAGGATGGCTGCAAGGTTTGAAACCAGTGTATACCCAACATTTATTTACAACATTGGTCATTTGTTTGAGGGTTTTCTAGTGGGAGATAAGGCATTTCTTGGGCTTATTTTTAATTTGGGGGAATTTTGTTTTTATTTTATTTGACCTTTAAAATTTGATTGATAGTAACCATACACACAGTTCAAAAATTAAAAAACATAAAATCATAAAAGGACTGGGAAAAGTTTTAAGATCATCTTTACCCTATTTTATATCTGCCTTGTTCTTACCTCACAATAGGCAACCATTTTAATTAGTTTGTGGGTCTTTCCATAAGTTTATTATGTAAATACAAAATACATACTCCAGTATGCTCCAGTTTTAAACATAAATGAATATACATAATAGACTCATACCTACTGTTCTGAATACTGTTTTTTTCCACTTCATATAATATGGAGATTCTTTCATATTAATGCATACAGCTTTTTCATTCCTTTTTTGATAGGGGAGTCCAAGGTGCTCACCAAGATCTATAGGTTTCAAAAAAAATTTTTTTTAAGAAATTTGTGTAGCTTCCCCTCAGTTTCAGATTTGATACTAAACTATGTATTTTTGTATTTTCCTTTAATAAACCCAAGAATTAAGTTTGTCAATTGACTCTCCATCTGGGGCAATGTAGATAGATTTCAGTCTGTGCAACCTTTCTTTTTTTTTTTAACTGTAGTAAAATACACAAAAAATTAATCCTCTGCATTTTTAAGTGTACAGTTCAGTGGTATTAAATACATTCATAATAGTGTATTGCCATCACTACCATCCATCTCCATAACTCTTTTCATCTTGTAACTGGAACTCTATACTCCTTACACAATAACTCCTCATTCCCCACTCCTCCCTGCTTCTGGCAACCACCATTCTATTTTCTATCACTAGGATTTTGACACCTTAAGTATCTCATTTAAGTATTTGTCTTTTTTTGACTGGCTTTTTTCAATTAGTATGATGTCATCACGATTCATTCTTATCATAGCATATTGGAGAATTTCCTTTTTAAGAAGAATATTCCATTGTGGTGTGTGTATGTATGTATGTGTATCTCATGTTTTCCTTACCCATTCATCCATTGGTAGACACTTGGGTTGATTCGACATTTTAGCTATTGTGAGTAATGCTGCTATGAAGGTGTGTACTGATATCTTTTCAAGACCTTGCTTTCAGTTCTTTTGAGTATATACCGAGAAGTAGAATTACTGAATCTTATGGTCATTTTTTATTTTTTGAGGAACGACCACTGTGGTGTTTTCCGCTGTGATTATACCATTTACATTCCCACCATCAGTGAACAAGGTTCTAATTTCTCCACATCTTCACGAATACTTTGTGTTGTTTTTTTGTTGTTGTTGTTGTTGTTTCTGTTTTTGTTGATAGTAGCCATTTTAATAAGTAGGGGATGGGTCACATTGTAGTTTTGATTTGCATTTCCCTCATGATTCGTGATGTTGAGCATCTTTTTCACGTGCATTATTGGCCACTTGTATATCTCATTTGGAGAAATGTCTATTCAAACCCTTTGCACGTTTTTTGAACCAAGGTATTTGGGTTTTTTCTTTCTTTTTCTGCTGTTGTTGAATTCTCTATCTGCATTTCTGTGATGAGAAGCATTGATCAGAGCACAGATCCCTGATATTTTGAGGATAGGGTCCTTTTTGCCCACGGTGACCTTCTGCAAGCTGCTCCAGGAACACGGGCACAGCTGTCTACCACATGGCTAGGGGTGTGGGATGGGTAGCTGCTACTATGCTAAGAGCTGAAATTGACCAAAATTAACCACAGTGTGCTCTCCAAATCTTACCTCTGGAAGTCGCAAGCCTTCAGTAGACTCCAGAGTTCCAAAAACGTTGCATCAAGCAGATTCTGCCAATGCAGTTCTGGTCTAGGTGGATAGACAGTTTCCTGGTACTTACTACTCTGCTATTTTTCTAGAATCTTCTCTGTGCAATCCTTTGTTAAATGATTAGTGGAAAGTTTCACAGAAAACAGCTGGAGCAGACTGTTTAAAACTCCTTAGACTGCTGATTTTTAAACTGTTTTTGGTTAAACAACACATTCATTTCACAAATGAAATCTGATGTGGATTCCCAACATATAAAACAGATAGAAACAGCCCTGGCCTGACATTCCCACCCTCAGCATTACCCATCAGCCCCACTCCCACTCAGAAAAAGCCGTTGTTTGGGTGAAGTAAGGGTTACATGAACAGGTCAGCATTTCCCAAGATTAGTGCTAAGCAATGAATATTAATAATGATGAGTGAGGTCAGTAGATATTGAATATAAAAAAGTTCCATAATCAAATTACTTTTGGAAGCCCTGCATTAAAGTTAAACCTTTCCTTTTATTGCCAGTTTTAAAATAAATTCATGTGAATTTTAACTCCCCAAAGAGGAACATAATATAAACAACATGTGGCAAACTTACCTGAACATTATTTTTTTATAAGAAGTATCTTAAAGAACACTAGTTTGAGAAACTCATTCCTTTTATCTCCAACAGAAGTTGAGATAAAGAGAAATTGGAATGAAAAATAGAATTAAAATTCCTTATGTATAATACTCTCCCTTTTATACTGTATTACCTCCTAGGTTTGAGACTTAATCTGCAAAGTGTCATATATGTATGTATGTCATATATACATATGAAACATATATATGTATGTTACCTATATACCTATATATGCTACCTAATGAAAATTGGTTACTGGTTTTATTGCATATTGCACTCTCAGCAGTATGCGCAGTACTTACAGGAAAATAGAAATGTAATTTATGATCTCAGAGTATAAGGAAAATACAAACTAATTGGAATATAACACTTTTGCCCATCCACCAAATAACATTCAGCTATACTAGTTGTTGATGATAATGAGGAGGAACACAGACATGTCCCTCTCCGTTGACGTTTAAGTGTACTGATGATATACATTAAATATTAGGAAGCAGTACAAGAGAAGAATGGACGTGTGGTCACTTGAAACTAAAATTAATGTCAAGGACATTACTGGGGAAATTATTTAAATTTTATATTTTTTAGCATACAACTGCATAAGAAATTGAGTTGTTTTCTAAATTGTTCTTGAAATATATATACTACATTGTCTGGTACCTATACTGAAAATGACAAAAGTTTGAATTCCAAAGTTACCTTGTCAGCTTCCTAGGCCTTCACAAATTGAAGTATCATTTAAAATGAATTTTATTAAATTCCTTGGTATTGATGGCTCTGCATACTGACCATATGTTTTTCCCTCATCTTACTAAGTATTGCAGGAAATCTTCCAAAGATTAAAAAAAGAAAAGGGTACAAACTTGTGGAATCTCCATATTTGGGGATTTTTTCTTTGCCTTGTATTTGTTTATGTTAATTGGATAATCTCTGCTATTTAAACCCACACGGTTTTGAGATTTTATACTTTTTAATTACAGTTGATGGAAATACCTGGGCACAAGTGATTGCTTTATACCCAACTCTAGTAGAATGTATCACCTGCTCATCTGCAGAAGTCTGCTCTGCACTTAAAGAGGCACTAGTTCCTTTTAAGGATTTCATGCAACCACCAGCATCCAAAGTTCAGAATGGAGAATCTTGACCAGCTACAATAATTTTAAAGAAGAAAAATATCTAAAGAATATTTGATCCTCAGTGAGTCTTCTATGAGAAGGACATTTCTTACTACAAATAATTCTTGGCAGCTGTTGTTGGCCTCCTTTAAATTGTACTTACCTGAGTTCAGTAATTCATATTACAAATTAACATGTCAACAAAGGCTCCTGAATGAGTAGCAGTGGAAGCCTTTAGTAAGTTAAACTTAATACTAAACCATACCTGCTACTCATCTTCAATTGGTGATTTAAAAGTGAGCTTATGTACAGTTTGTGGTGTATGTGTTAACGATGTACTTTTTAAAAAGAAAGAAAAGATATTTCATTCAGTCAGATTTATTAGGCTGGTGTTTTTGCACCCTTTTTCAAGTACAAAGTTGTACTAAAATTTTATGCAAGATGGTACTGTAACATTCCATATTATCTATAACCAGCCTTTGTAAACAAAGGGAACTGATTGATAAACTTGTGTGTATAATAAATGGTACAGTTCTGTATAAAATAGTTGCATTTATTATTTAAATTTTTAAAATGTTGATAATGTTAAATGCTTGAAGCTATATTTATTATTAATACAAAATTGTTTGCTTACATTTTTACTTATAATTTGCCTTCTTAAGCGGCAGGTATGCTCACCATATGATCATGCAGTTATCTCAGTGCTTATTTTAAATGTATTTACTGGTGATTATTAAACATTTGACCAGAAAGGTCATGTGAACACAGCAGCAAATAGTTGATGATTTGCTGGTTTTGCAACTTTGAAGTATAGGTTATTAACTTAATACATTGGGATATATTGTAGCGCTCTGACTCCATCATACCTCATTTCTTTAAATATCTTTCCCAGCTTTCACATAAGTCTGTCTGTTTTTATATTTGCTGTCTGAATTTTAAAGACTTTTCATATTATATTTCTACTGATTTTTTTTCCTCACTAAAGCCTTTATCACTGGTCTTTGAATTATGACCCAGGCAAGATGATTCCAGATTTCCTAAATTTTGCCTGTGAAATTTTGTTCATTTCAGTGCTTCACTTTGTAATGTCTTCTCAAGAAGAAAAGTAACTCTGCTAACCCATAAATATAAAAAAATGTGTGTGTATTCTAAAACAATGGGAAGTGTATTTTTGGAGATAGTGAAGCATTTAGAAGTACAGTAAACTTTCTGTCATGGAGTAAATTGCTAATTTTGTTTCACTTTCCTATCCTAGTGAAGAAGAAAAATGCTCTTGAGTACATTAACTTGTTTCTTAAAAAACTAACCTAGCTCACTGTAATTTTTATTTAATGGCTTATAGCATTGTCATATTTTTCTTAAATTTTCATAAATGTGTGAAGATGCAAAGATGTTTAAAACAATGATTAAGAAATCATAATGATTTCAGTATTATGTTAGTGTGCTGGAAGGCCTTTGATTTTAATAGAGTTTATACATTTCAGCCTCTCCAGAATAATTATACAACTAGAAGAAGATACTAGAATTAAGTAATAGATGAAATATAATTTTGAGGGTACTGTGATTTGTGTAATTATTTGATTTGTACTATTATCTGTAAACATGATATAAGGTCTTTTTTGAAGGGATATCATTTTTATTTACATGAATTAATGAATTTCTATTTTATAATTTCACCTAAAATTAAGGTAAAATATGGCATTTCCTAGATTCTATCTTCAGCATTTTCCTTGAAGTTGTAAAAAAAAAAAATCATTCAAGCTGTGTATTCAGTTTATTTCCTATATTTGGATATGTTAAATTGGGGATTAGAAAAATACATATATCACTGATAGGAGTACCAAAACAGAATAATGAAGGTAGTGTGCCTGTTTAGTAATATGTTAAAATACTGCCATGAATTTCCATGAAGTGGAAATGTTTATTCTTGAGAAATAATAGATCAGTTCCAATCATAAAAATTATTCTCCAGGGAAAGTTAAACATGAGTCAAAGGTATACAGCGTACATTTATATAAATTGAGTAGCTTTAGCTAATATCATATTAGCTTTCAATAGGACCATTCCCTACAGATCAGAGCATAATTGTGTTAATACTGTATAATACGGTAAGAGTGCTAGTCTTAGTGACAAGCAAAGTGCGCTCCCCTCTTAGTGATATAGCTTGACAGGTTTTTCCTCCCAGAATATCTCCCACCACCCCCGGAGTCACTACCAGCAGTTTACTCCCTTGAGTCAAACATTCCTCTTGGAATTTTCTAAAATACCCTGATCCCTGGGGAGGTTAACTCCGTGCCTTTGTTTTGTTAGTATGAATTGGGTTCTCTAGTGACTAGGAGAACTGGGCTATGTAAGATTACTAGATCCTAGGAGATTAAAAAAGGAAGTTCTCAAGGCTAAGATTACTTACAGCATGACAGACACGATGACTAAGTCCTTGAAACATTAGTAATAGTGTTCTGTGAAATGCATATTATAAATACAATGTGTTATAAGCCTCACATGATCATTTTTTGTCATTGACAGTGCCTATCTTATATAGATTACCACACAAGCTATATATTGCAACATTGGATTATATATAGTCCTTTTCTGACTTTTTTCCATTTATAAAAGAAACAACCTGATTTTCAACTTGAATAGCTTACTTTTTTATTTTCCTATAATGCTACTACTGCCAAAAAGGAAAAAAAAAAAGTGATTTGTAGTGTCTCATTTAGTATTTCTTTATAACTAGTGTTAAAGTTTTGTTAGTTTTACTATATATGTTTGTGAGTAATATTTATTAGGAGGCTGTAGGAGTAAAAGGAAAATGCATAAAAGTCTGGCTTAGAGAAAACCACTTTTCATTTGCTTTCATTTTTAATTTTATTAACAGCTATATATATATATATATATATTTTTTTTTTTTTTTAAGTTTTTATTTTTAGAGTGAGAGCATGTGAAGGGTGGTTGGGGAGTGGGAAGGGGCAGAGGCAGGAAAAGAGAATCTTAAGCAGGTTCCATGTCCAGCAAGGAGCCTGACTCAGGGCTCAATCTCATGACCCTGAGATCATGACCCAAGCTGAAATCAAGAGACACTTGATTTGAATTTCCACGACTGAGCTACGCAGGCACCCCAGCTATGTTGCTTATTGCCTGTTTTTCCGCTGTATAAGTATTAATTCAACTCTTGCTGTATTCTTAAGTTAGACTTAGCACCAGAAGGAAGAGATGAACAATTTACACGTATATTTATTCTGAAGAATAACATTTAAATTAACAAGCCAATAACAAGGTTGTCTTTTCTTACTGTAACCTTATTTTACTTGTTATAGTTTGGTACCACTAGTCTCAGGTAACCATAAAGCCAAAGGGTCAGCTGAGAAACTGAGGGTATGGGGTGCCTGCCTGGCTGGCGCAGTCAGTAGAGCATGTGACTCTTGATCTCGGGGCTGATTTCAAGCCACATGTTAGGTGTAGAGATTACTTTAAAAAAAAAAAAGAATAAAACAGTGTAGTACAGAAAACCACTCAAAAAGTATTAATGAGGTCTTTTTTTTTTTTTAAGATTTTATTTATTTATTCGTGAGAGACAGGCAGTGACATAGGCAGAGGGAGAAGCAGTCTCCTTGCAGGGAGCCTGATGGAGGACTCGATCCCAGGACCCCAAGGCAGACACTCAACCACTGAGCCACTCAGGTGCCCCAAGGTTGTCTTTATTACACTCATGTTACTGAGAAAGTTTATTAAATAATGATCCAATATAATACAGTCTTTCCAAATGTAGAATAATTCAGATGGGCAGCCAAATCCTCAGGAGACCGCTATAGGTGAAGTCTGTGTCCTCAGGAAGAGTACTTTCTTCCAGGCACCCACCTACCTGTGATTGCTATATAATTTAATATTGGAGATTTAGAAGCCACAGAATTAATGTCCAGGCCAAGAATATTGTGAATTACTGTTTTGTTTTGCTCTTTTAAATCAAAAACCACCACAATGTGAACAAAAATAGTCTCATGAAAGAATTGCCAGCAGCCTAACGTGTCCTTCAGATTTCTACAGACTAGGTTCGGCCTCATGACAGATATGCTGATCTTGTATTAACTACCACATTTTACCATGCTAGTATGTTAGAATGGATTTGGGCTTTTTAAATTACTATTAATCATAGTAGGCGTTTATCACATGGTGTGTTACTGGCTTTTGTTTTATGGGAAAACAGTTTTTAATACTGGAAAATCAACTGAATTAAATTTTTTGTATCTGGCAAGTAGAGTAGTGCTTTCAATTTGAAAAGTTTTTATAGACTGAGAAGGTTATAATGTCCTTGTACCTTGATTTATTTAAAAACTCAGAGCCGTTTGGTAAATACCAATTTCTTGTAAATCTAGTAATTAACTTTGAATGCAGTAGCAGTATTAGCTCTAAGGATTTTTTATTTATCCATTTAGAGAGAGAGAGAGAGAGCACGTACGTGCAAGTGGTGGTGTGGGGGGGAAGGAGAGAGAATCTCAAGGAGGCTCTTTGCTCAGGGTGGAGCCTGCATGGGGTTCGACCCCACAACCTCGAGACCACAACCAGAACTGAAGTCAAGACTAAGTTGCCTAACCCACTGAGCCACGCAGATACCCATGCTGGCTGTCTTTATAGGAGCTCACAATAAGTCCTCTTGTGAATATAAACACTTAGAAATCTTGACTTGTGAGGCAGTGAGGAGCAGAGGCTCTCCCTCTTCTCTAGGCATGTGTAAGGGGAGACTGGCTGGCTGGATCAGCCGGTAGAGCATGCAACTGTTGATCTTGGGGTCTTGGTTAGTTTAAGCCCCATGTTGGGCATAGGGCACTGAGTTTACTTAAAGATAAAAAACAGTAACAAAACCCCACTAACCCATGTGAAAGTTTCAAAGCCTCTATTATTATCTCTAAAGCAAAGATGACAAATGAGTTACTAATTCTTTGGAGAAAAATAACGCATGGTGTGAATTTAGATTTGATTTCATGATGATGTTAACTATTCAAGTTGTTTGATAAATATATTACTCCACCTTGAGTACTTTGACTATATATTTTTTCTCCTTTTCTCTCCTGCATTTCTTTTTCACCTTCTCTCCTTTAAAAAAAAAAATCTGTTTACCTTAATCGTCTTATTTTATACTTTCCCCTAGTTTTTCTCATTTTCATTCCTCTTTTATTTTTCTGCCTCTTCTGTTCCAGTTCTTCCTTTAATTTCACCTATGCTTTGTTCAAAAGCAGAGCGATTATTGGTAGGATCACTGCCAACTGCCTTTTTATTAAATGAGATTCTGGAAATACCTTCTGCATTGGCCACTGTTGCTTTTTTTGCAAAGGTGAAGTCCCCCTGCCATTTCAAAATAGCCGAACAAGTTCAAGTAATGACTGTAGCTTCTACTATCTTTCTGAAACCACAGGATTCAGTAGCCAAGGATGCTCACAAATGGGCTTGCTATAAATACGATGAATTCAGCAGCTAAACTTGGAACAATCATGTCTTTTCTGTTATATGGATAGAGATTTATACCACTTTTCTGAAAGAGAGTCTTTA